GCATTTTATGGGAGAAAATGTAGGACACTTTTATGTTGGTTTGAGACTGGAGAAAATTTAATCTTAGGTCCTGACATGATTCAACAAATCACGAAAAAAATTAAGATGATTAGGAAAAAATTAAGAACAACTCAAAGTCGACAGAAAAATTATGTTGACTAGAGAAGATGATCCCTTGAATTCCAATAAGGTGAGCATGTATTCTTGAAAGTAACATTGACAACTGGAGTTGGTAGAATAATGAAAGCAAAGAAACTCACTCCTCGATTTATTGGTCCCTATCAAATTCTTAGAAAAATAGGTCCTGTTGCTTACCAAATATCTTTACCCCCTTTCCTTTCTAATCTTCATAATGTGTTTCATGTGTCTCAATTAAGAAAATATATTTCTGACCCTTCTCATGTAATAATATTGGATACAGTACAATTAAAGGATAACTTTACATTTGAAACAATGTCTATACAAATTACAGATATGAAGATCAAACAACTAAGGGGAAGACAAATTCCACTAGTGAAGGTTGTTTGGAATGAAATTAATAGAGACGCTACATGGAAATTAGAAAAGAAAATCAGATAAAGTTACCCCTATCTGTTTTAGTGAATAAAAATTTCGAGGACGAAATTTATGTAAGTATAGGGGAAATGTAATATCTTAAAAAAAAAATTAAAATGAAAGATAAGGTTAACTTATCTTAATGATTAAGACTTATCCAAGTCATTAATGAATTTAATGACTTCATTAAGTAAAAATAAAAATAAAATAAAATAATGGCTATAAATGGGAGGGGGAGGGATTACGTAGGAGGAAAGAAAAAAAATTGAAGGAGAAGAAAGGGAAAGGGAGGAGAGAGAAGGAAAGAAAGAAAGAAGAAAAGGAGAGGAAAGAGAGAGAGAGAAAGAAAGAATCAGGAAGGGAGAAGAAGAAAATGAGAGAAAGATAAGTCACCTCCGCAAAATTGTGGTACATCATCTGCAGTTCTTAAGGTAGGGGAGAATATTATCATTAAATCTATTTTATTTTGCTTATAGTTATGGAGTGAGATGTCCCTAACCTCATTCTATTTATTTAGTTATTTGTTTATTTATCTCTAACTACGTAATGATCCTACTTTATGCTTGTTTATTTTATCTCCAGTCTTGCACTGGTTCTATTTTAATTATCTTCAATTATGTACTGGTCCTGTTTGTTTATTTTATCTTCAGTCTTGTACTGGTCCTATTTTAATTATCTCTAGTTATGTACTAGTCCTGTTTGTTTCTTTTATTTTATCTTCAGTCTTGCACTAGTCCTATTTTAATTATCTCCAGTTATGTACTGGTCCTGTTTGTTTATTTTATTTTATCTCCAGTCTTGCACTGGTCCTATTTTAATTATCTCCAGTTATGTACTGGTCCTATTTGTTTACTTTATTTTATCTCTAGTAATACAGCGATCCTATTTATTAATTTATAGTTATATTATTTAATTATAATAATATCTATTTGTGAAGATTTGATGATATTGTAGATGGAGGTTGGACCTTGGGGATTTAAATGAGTAAATATTACAAAGAGAGTGATTAAAATTGTGCTCATTTATCCTGACTAGTCACTACAAATTTAATTTAAATCTTCATAAAATAGAATGTGTTGAGGAAGTTGAAACATATATATATATATATATATATATATATATATATATATTATATAAGATTGTATTATTGTAAATGATAAATGTTCTCACTTCCTATTATGATTTTTTTTTCATGTTTTATTTAAACACCAACTTAAGTAGATGGAGACGTCAAATATTCTAAATCTCTTTTCGCAAGCATCACTCGCCTTCTTTCTAGGAACTACTTGGAACACGAACGTCATAGCCAACTCAGTTACTTTTAGAGGGACAAGATTATCAATAATAACATTTGTATCTGATATGGAAAATCTCATTATGTTAGATGGACCAGTAATAGTTACTTTTTGTATGTCTCCTACCTTTTTTCAAAACTCCTTAATCAGTTTGTTTCCATCGACGATGTAGATATTTGTAAAATTGTAGAAAAAATAGAAAAAACCAAAAATAAAATTCCTTCTTCTTCTGTATATCTTATTTTATATATATATATATATATATATATATATATATATATATATATATATATATAATAATAATTTTTTTGACCTGCTACTCTTTTACAAATAATAATAATAAGAAAAAAATTGTCACAATAAGCATTGACTTATCTATAAATTATTATCATTTTACAAACAAATTTTAAAAATTATATTTTTTTCTTAAATTTAAAAATCGAGTATGATTTACTCAACTAAAAATCTTTTATTCTTTTCGAGTAAATTGTTTTATTATTATTATTATTATTATTATTATTATTATTTTTAGTTTTATTTTTTAAAATAATCAATGTTGTCCACTTCAATAAGATATAGTTAAGTTATCAAACAAAATAATAGAATGTAGGATTCAAACTATGATATTTCTTAATGTAATATTAACCATGTCATATCTATATCAATATTAATATTGGATTAGACTAATAAGTATTATTGTATTAGTTTTACATTAATTTTTAGATAAATTTTTAAAATATTGTTTAAAAGGATAACATTAACGCATTTAAAAAAACAACTTAACATTAAAATTAATATAATAAGATAAAGTTAAAATAATAAAACATATTTAGCATTTTTGTTATTAACGTGGGTTCCTCTCTTCTATTTTCTTTCATAACACTTAGTAGAATATCAAGAAAGAGAACACACCAAATAAACTTTTGTGTTGTTAATTTTTATTTTAATGAAATCGTAATGTTTTAATGTGTCGTGAAAATTTACAGTTGTATAATGATTATTTTTAACTTAATAAAATAGTGATGATGTTGTTTTTATTCATTTTCATTTCTATAATATAATTATATATATATATATATATATATATATTGATTAAAAATAGGCAAAAATAAATATACAATTGATAGAAAAATAATTAATGTTATATTTTTTAAAAAACCATCTCGTAAATAGAATAAAAACTTTTAAAAGTTAAAAGTTCCACAAATAAAAAAGTTATATTAAGTTATTTCGACAACCATTTTTTAAAATAAAAATTATATATTTTCATGAATAATTATTAATCATCTATTCATTTTTATTAGTTTTTATTAAATTTTATTATTCTTTATAAGATTTAAATATTTATTATTTTTAAATAATATTTATATTATTTATTTATAAATAAATATCTCATTTGATGAAATACAAATTAATTAGATTATTTATTCTGTTTTATTTCTTGTATACCTGTATAAGACCATATTTTATAACATATTATTGTGAATGTAAAAATTGTTGCATGCATAATTATTATTGTTGTTTAAAAATTTGTACATATTAAAAACAATTATAATTATATTACTTTTTAAAACAATTATACTGAATTAACCTATTTTTCCCAATAAATACATTATAATAAATTATTATTTTGTAAACACTGGAGAACAACATCAATAAATTTGATTTTTTTAAGAAAAACTATATCTTTTTACCAAACATTTATTCAAAACCATTTTAATATTATAATGATAATAAAAGTTTTTAACTGTTATGTTTACTTTTATTATATTATTAAATAGAATTGCAGAATGGTTATATAAAATAATAATAATAATAATAATAATAATATATCATTATTTTATTTTTAAAAGTAAAATGATAAGTTAACAATTGCTTGTGTAATATATAACCAATCGACAATTCAATATATTATTAATATTTTTGGCTTGTGGGATAGATTAGACGTTCAATCAATGGTAACCGCTAATTATCTTTGAATATAGGAAATTGTTTAGCAGAAGCGTTTAAGAATAAAACAAATACTTTATTATAAATATTACTTATGAGTTATTTGAAATTAGTTAAAGTTGTTTATAAATAACTTTTTCTCAAATTTAAACAATTTTCTCCCAAATTTAATCAATTTATGTCTGAAATTCATAATAAAATAATAAATTTTATTCTTACGTAATTATTTGTTAGCAATTTTTTTTAGATATCTTCTAAGTTCTAATAAATATGGTAATAAATTTTTAAATAAAATATTATGATTAAATAATATAAGGAATAGTTTTTTTTTTAAATAATGATATTAATTAGTGTAACGTACAAGAGACTCTAGTATTATAATTTAAAGTAGAGAAATCAAAATTATATTATGTAAGAGTGATGTTTTTTTATAGGAAAAAAATACTTTTAACAACCCAAATTTATATAACTCTTTTTTAATATTATAATAATAGTTTTAATTTATTTTTATTTTTATTAAATCATTTTATAGATTATTATACTAATAAAAGTAAGTTGTTTAAAAAGTGGTATGGTTTCTCGATGTCAAAATATCACCACTCTTTTTTATAACCTAATCTTGAAAACAGTGAATTAGTTTAAAACTATTATTATATTATTATAAGTGAGTTATTAAATAATTGTTTTTAAAAGAAAAATAATATATGCATATTCCATTTTTTAAAACATATTATCATTCTCTATTTTTTTTCTATTTCTCTGGTTATATCATATCATTATTATTATAAAATAAAAAAATATTTTAATAACCTAATTTTCAAAAATAACCACTAAAATTATAAAAATAACTCTCTACTTCACAATTCACTTAATTATTATTATATTATCATGACTTGATAGTTAATTGTTTAAAAAATGAAACAAGTGAAAGAAATGATAAACAACACAAAATAACGTTCTAGATTGTGTTTTAAAAATGGAGTTGCCAAGGTAACCTGTGCTGTAACAGAGAGAGTTTCATTTATAGTGAAAGCAGTTAAAGTTTATATCATACATCATTTATCATTTAGTGAAGGAGAGGGGACCACCAGTAGCAAGATTTGGGACCTTCCTCAGCTATAAAATCCATGCCTGCTTCTCTGTTTTCACTCACATTCTGAATTGGTGTTGTGGTTGTTGTTGTATTAGCAAAACCATAAGATGGCCCAGGGAAGAGGATTCAGTGCAATGATTTTCTTGTTCTGTGTGTTGGTGCTTTCCTCTGAGAAAGCTCATGCAACAACCTATGTGGTTGGGGACAATGATGGTTGGAACATGCACCCACAAAACTGGCCCATTGGAAAGAATTTTAAGGCTGGTGATATACTAGGTTGGTATCTTCCTCGTATATGCAAATGTAATTACTTTCTGAGACATGAATGCCTAACTTTTCATTCATTATGTGTGCAGTATTCAACTATAATCCTCAGCTACACGACGTAGTGATAGTGGATGAAGGTGGATACAAATCATGCACAGTTCCAAAAGGAGCAAAAAGGTATAATTCAGGGCATGATCAAATCAAACTTGCCGGAGGACCAACCTACTTCATCTGCTCTTTTCCTGGTCACTGTGAAGCTGGGATGAAAATGACAGTTCATGCTGCATGACTCGAGCTTAGTCCATTACCTATATCTTTTGCAACTTTGTTTCGTCCTTTTTGTTTTCTGGTGTTGTAAACATCTTCCATCAAGATTAGCTGAGTTTTGGGGATGAACATAGAAATGGTTGCCAGAAATATAGGTGCTTTAATGTGTCTTCGTTAAGGTGACTTCAGTCACAATAAATGATACAATTTTATAATTTCTCTTCTTTCTTTATAGTAACGTTCATTTTAGTAATATTATAAAAGACTCTCAAGAGTTTTAATTACAAAGTATTATAATGTGTTTTTTCAAGTTTTATCTCTTTAATAAAGTATTACAAAAAATTCATATTCGTATAAATTTTATTCATATCTTAATTTTTCAAAACGTTAGGAATTAATTTAATTATGGGTAACTGTTTTTTATTCTTAAGATGCAAAATCTTATATAAAATATAGTCCTTAATTTTAAGACTTCTATCATGTTATATATATATATATATATATATATATATATATATATATATATATATATATATATATATATATATATTTTAATATATATTTTTGTTCAGTTTTTTTTTTTTTGAGAAATGCCTAAAAACCATTTTAATATTTAGATGAAAGATATCAACAATTTAGAATAATTTACATAAAAACTAACTTATAATTATTTAATTTTATATCAACATTTGTTAACTTTATTTAGAAAACCACAAAAAAAGAAATAGAAAAAAAGAAAGGAAAGAAAAAGAATAAAAAATTAGATCTGTAACCTTAATTTGCATACTAACATTATATATATATATATATATATATATATATATATATATATATATATTATTTTTCTTTAAAAACGTATAAAAAATAAATATATACAAAATAAGAATACAGAAGTGAGATATTTAACGTATTTTTTGTTTAGGTTAAATTAAGATCATTAATATATATATATATATATATATATATATATATATATATATATATATATATATATATATATATATATATATAGGAAAACAACATAAAGAGAAATATGTTTAGGTTAAACTAAGATTAAAGTGTCATCTATTTTATAATAAAATAATAAAAATTATGGTCACCTCTTCTAAAGATATGTCTCTAGTTTAAAATATGTATTCATTGTTAATAAACTACTCATATCCTTTGTTTTATTTATGTTTAAACTTATATAAATATAACATCTAAACATTACAATAAATTAATAAATTTAATTACATATTTTATAATTACTTGTTTATTTTATACTAAAACAATGTTTTCACATTAGTATATGTTTTTATATTTTGTAAGACAATTTATAACTGACTGACAGTATAATTTTTTATATTATTAGTATATAAAAATTAAATCTTTCAATGATCTTAAAAAAATCTTTAATTTGTATACTAAATTTTAATTCTTATTTTTTTTAATGTTTAAAAAATATATATATATATATATATATATATATATATATTAATTTTAAGATAAACATAAGATTTGAGTATCACCTTCACTAAAAAATATTAAAAGGTGTGAATTGTAAAATAAGAGAATTATGAATATAAATTTTAAATAAGGTGAAAATAAAAACCATAAAAAAAAATCAAGGGAAGTTAGCACATATTCTAATAAATTAAAAAGTAATTTAATATCTTAAGCATTTTCATAGGAATTCTTACTAAGAATTACTTAATAATAAAATTAAATATTTTAATATAAATTTTAGCTTAAAATTTGATCAAAGTTATTTATATAAATAATTATTTTTTAATTTTAAATAACTTTTTTTTAATTTTAAGTAAATATGATGTGAAACTTATAATAAAATATTTATTTTTTAAATAATTCAACTTTCTTTTAAAAATAATTACTTAAAAATAAAAATAAATATTTTATTATTCTTACGTCTAAGTTACTTGAAGAATAATGTTGTCTTGAATTGAAAAAGAAATTAATATAAATAATTATAAGTAAATTAAAAAAATTAATATAAATAATTATAATCAAATTTTAATTTATAACTAAATTTTAAAAAAATTAATATAAATAATTATAACCAAATTTTAAACCACTGCTATAATAAAATAGTTAATTTTATTTCTAAATTTTTATTAAAAACTCCCTAATAATTAAAATTTCCTTTAACTGAGGACAAAACTATTTAATGCGTTAACTTCGTCGGTTATGTTTTGACTGTTTACGTTTTTTTTTTTTTGATCGGCAACATTTTGACTGTTTAAGTTACATAATCAGTTATGTTTTTATTTCATCAAAATAAAAGACAAGATTCATTTATTACAAAATAAAGGTTAAAAATTTATTATATTTATATAAAATAATAATTTATAATAAATATATAATTTTTCTGTTTTAAAATAAAAAATATTTTTCATTTTAATTATTTTTTAATTTAATGATTTAATATAACAATTTATTCTACTTCATTACGTTAAAAAAATTAAACGATAAAAATGAAAAATAATTCTTTAAAATTTTTATTTTTAAAAAAGTTGAGTTATATATATATATATATATATATATATATATATATATATATATAAATAATAGTAAGAGTTATTTTTATTTTTAATTTTTTTATTAAAAGTTTTTGTAGATAATTTTTTAATTATATATATTATATTAATTATGTATTATATTTTTCATATATTTTATTATTTTTTAAATATATAAATTATAATAATTATTTTTCTTCAAATTATAATATTTTTATTTTTTATCATGATAAAAAAAATAATTAAAGAAATAATAGAAAATTTTAAATGTTTGTTTGAGGTAGGTGAATATATATATATATATATATATATATATATATATATATATATATATATATATATATATATAATTGTTTGCTTTAATTAGAGTTACTGAGAAGTAAAATATTAGTTATTTTATTAAATAATTTACTAAATAAGAAGAAAAAAAGTAATCAATCTTATAAATAATATATTAAAAAAAATACTAATATGTATCAATTTATTTATTTAACTAAATATATTTAATGTTCATTTGCAATCTCTTATTTTTATTTTCTTTCCTCTTACTTGTCCTTCAAATTAAAATTACTATATTAAAATTTAATAAAAACATGACAAAATAAATTTTTTTAAAATCAACATTGAAACTAAAAAATTTCAACTAATTTTTTAAAATTATGATGATAATAAATAATTTTATTTATTATGATAATAAATAATTTTGCTTATAATTATGTAAATAATTAATTTAAAATTATTTTCTCATAATAAATTAATTATTCATATAATTAAAAATATAAATATTTATAAATTAAATATATTTTTATTTATTAATTTAATCTAGTTATAATTAAACTATAATGATTACTGAGATTAGGTAATTTAACAAATATTTTAAAATAAATATTTAATTTTTGCTTATTAATTATAACATAACAATAATATCTCAATCTTATTAGATAATATTTAAAAAAATATATAATATATTAAATTATAATATTTATAGACAATATAAATATTTTTTATTTTTCAGATATTATAAAAGACTCATTTTATCAAATTTTAATATAGTATTTTTAAGTAAAAGATTAAGAAAGATAAGAGAACAACAAATAATTGGATAAAGAAAAAACAATCATGACATAGAAACAAATACCAATAAGTAAATAAAGAAAAAAATTAAAAATAATGAATATAAAAATAGATATATTATATGAGACAAATAATTTTGTGTAAAAACCATAAATGGATAAATAAAATTTCATATTCTAATGAAGTAATTTTTTAAAATATATTATTTATGAGATTGATTTGAAAATGGGAGAAAATAAATTTTTTAAAATTTACGAAGATACTTTCTACAAAGAATAGAGTGCTGATATTTTGACACCCGAGTTTAAACATCCATTTGACAACTGAATAAAAAAATATTAAATGCACAGTGTTACCGAATAAAAAATATTAAATGCACAGTGTTTTGGGCAGGTAGCGTCGCTCGAGCGATGTAAATTTCGCTTGAGCGACGACACTTTAGATATCGGTTAATAAGAACCGCTTTTAAAAAAGCATATAATATAGCGGTTTGTGAGTGAACCACTCACTAAAGTATGTTTTTGTTAGCTGTTACTTCTGAACCGCTCACTAAAGTATGTTTTTGTTAGCGGTTCAGAAGTAACCGCTATCTAAAGTCACTTTCTTTTTCATTCTTCAACCTCGCGCTCTTTCTGACTGCGTTTTTTTGCCGCTCTCTACGCTCTCATTCTCGCTCTCTGCGCTCTCATTCTCGCTCTCTGCGTCTTCTATTAAGCTTCAGGTACGTTCTTTGTATTTTCAATCTTTCTGATTCTCTTGCTCACATTGAAGCATATTACATTGTAATATATTTGTGTGTCGCCAAGTTCGCGTTCCAGTCTCCATTCGCCATTGTTGTTGTAGGCCGCGCTTATTGGGAGTTAGTGCATTATATATTTTTAGGGTTTAGCGTTTAGAGTTTGTCTACATTGTGATCTAAAATTGTGTTTTTTGGGTAGATAAACGATTGAACATTTACATTGACTATTTTCGTCTCCAAGTTCCGAACTTATATAACTTGCTATTATATTGTTGGCAATGGTAGGAATTGTATCCTTCATCGTTTATCTAGCATGGGAGATATAAATGAAAACAGAGATGTAGCTGTCAATGAAGGCATTTTGGCCGTGTATGATGACATAGGTAGTGATGCGGATGTACAACAATGTGATGGTCCTCTCAAAGGTGTAGACCAAGAAATGATAGGTGTACATGATAAAATACCCAGTAATGCAGATGCCACAAGTTTACATGAAGAAGAAGTGTTGGTTGGCCATGATGAAGGATCTCCTGACGCAGATGTCAGGACTACAACAGAATACGACGGTTCTGCTCCATGTGTAGGAATGTTCTTTGAAACTGCAGATGCAGTTAAATCATTTTATCGACAATATGCCATACAAAAAGGATTTGGCATCAAAACAAGGAGTTCAAAGAAGGGGCCCGATAACCAATTGCGGTACTTCATGTTGGTGTGTGCAAGGGCTGGTAAGTATGTTTCTGCTACACCTACTGAAATTAGAACCCAACCCACCAAAACAAATTCATGTCCTGCACGGATAACAGTTGTATTAAAGGAAGGACTATGGTATATTATGTTTGTGTCGTTGTTGACATCACTTGACAGTAATGTTGACGGCACACAATTGTCTTCCTCAACTAAATGGTTTGGAAACATTGTTTTTTTAATGAAATACTTTGTCAACAATGAATATTACATTAGTTTAGAAGTGCATGACGTTCATGTATACTAATGATTTCTTCTTCAACTTGCAGGACATAAGTGTTAATATCTACAACATAGAATTTTGCAGTAGTGTAGACTACACATTCTGATTTTGTTAGAGTATATATGATAGGACATAGACGTGCAACAGCAGTGTAGACTATACATTCTGATTTTGTGGATGTAAATATAACAATGTAACAGCAATTTTAATTTCTTCAATGCATTTATAAGCAGTTGATGGTCCATACATTTACGTAACAATCATCGGTTCTATATTACGTCCAATGAAAGACATGTAATAAAAATCACACTGCATGATAACAGCAAACTACCTTCAAAAAAAGCAAACCTAATTGTAGACATTTCAGTATATAACAAACCAATAATATTAAAATAGTTCTGAGACTTTAAATTGGGAATTTAGATAATTTTAAAGCAAACCTAGTTTTTTGACCAAATAAGCAAACCAAATATTAAACAATTTTTTTTTTAAATTGAGACTTTAGATAACGGTTCTGGAAACCGCTATCTAAACCTACTAAAAAGAGCGGTTCTACAAATAACCGCTATTAAAAGTATATTTTAGATAGCGGTTAACATGGAGCCGCTATTATATGTTTACTTTTAAGAGCGGTTAAAATATTAACCGCTCTGCAAAGTCAATCAAATGTCGCTTGAGCGAGACTATAGTCGCTCAAGCGAAACTCAACCCGAGAATCCCCATTCTATCAGGTGGCTTCGCTCGAGCGATGATAAAGTCGCTTGAGCGACTTTAGAAAATGAGAGAATATGATCGATTATTATAGCTTATAGTCGATTATTCACAGACCTTAGACAACGGTTAACGTTTAACCGCTATCTAATATATATTTTTAAAAGCGGTTCTTATTAACCGCTATGTAAGGTCGCTTCGGGTTCAGTCGCGCTCAAGCGACTCTGTAATCGCTTGAGCGACAGTTGAATGTTATATGTGGTGAACCAAGATTTATTAGATGGCTAACTGTGTAGGACGTTTCGTTTGTCGTTCACCAGTCGCTCAAGCGACTGTATCTTTGCATGATGTAAGTAGGTAAACTAGTGTATTGTAATATGAATATAATTTAAAGGAGATGGTTGCTATTATATTGTTGTCAATGGTAGGAACTGTATCCTTCATCGTTTATCTAGCATGGGAGATATAAATGAAAACAGAGATGTAGCTGTCATGTTAACAATGTTTCAATGACTTAGTGACGTTTCAATCGATTAAAACACGTTTCAATCGATTAAAATCACTTAAAGGGTCAGGATGATCGATTAGAAGACAATTATGACTGATCGAGTCGGTTATGATCGATCAAATTTAGTTATGACCGATCAGAACTCTTTTAATCGATTAAATCTCGTTTCAATCGATTAAAAAAACTTAGAAATTTTACATGCAGACGTTTTAATCGATTAAAACTTATTTTTATCAGTTAAAATAACTTGAAAAGTTATATAAGAAAGTTTTGCTGTATTTTAATCAATTGAATCGCGAAACAATCGATTAAATCAACTTAGAAGATTTTTTATAAAGTGTTTTAATTGATATAAACGTTGTCGTATCAATTAAAACAAATCTGTTAAAGAATCAAGAACGTATTAATGGATTAAAAGAAGTTTTAACAGATTAAAACTGCACTTTTAACAGATTAAAAGAATCTTTTAATAGATTAATTAAACCAGCAGTTTTGAAAATCTTCTATAAAAACAGTTTGACTTGATCTCATCCTTCTCTTCTAACATATCCTAACCGGGATGGGATAGAAGGACCTCTGATTGCAGAGCCGGAAGCCAACCATGGGGAATCCGTGACACGGAGCAATGATGCTCAAATCGCTCCGCTGCCTCGACTCTCATTTCAGATGAGCATTCTTCTCAAGTTGGCGCAGGTGTCCGATGTACTAGCTCTGCTCCAACCAATCCGGAGACTACAAGACCTTCACCTCAATCTCCACCGGTTCCCACCGAAAACAAAGCATTACCTAAGGTAGATCATTTATCTCTCAACACTCCTTCCAGTTTGCCATAAACCTTCTTGGCTAACTGTTGACATCATCTTCAATCTCAGACTATTGGGATTGGAGCAAGAGTGGAATGGAAGAAAGCTGTCCTTATCTTCTCCTCCAACCAGTATCTCCTCCCTGATCGAATATTATGATCGATTATTATCCAATTATAGTCGATCACTTTGACATATATGACTTTAGATAGCGGTTATTTGACCAACCGTTATCTAAACTATACATTATGATCGATTATTATCCAATTATAGTCGATCACTTTGACATATATGACTTTAGATAGCGGTTATTTGGCCAACTGCTATCTCAACTATACATTATGATCGATTATTATCCAATTATAGTCGATCACTTTGACATATATGACTTTAGATAACGGTTATTTGGCCAATCGCTATCTTAACTATACTTTAGATAGCGGTTCACAGCGAACCGCTATCTAATATATATTTTTAAAAGCGGTTCTAATTAACCGCTATCTAAGGTCGCTATCACCTTGGGTACTTGAAGAAGTCGCTTCTGAGTGGGTGCGCTTGGAGCTTTTTCTTTTGCCAGCCATGGTTTATGTTTATGACTATTGAGATAGTCAACAGTGAACGAAAACAGAGAACAGAGAATCTGTGAGTAATTAGAAAGCAAAGAATACATTAACCTCGATGGTTGTTGTATGCTTCTTCTTTACAATGCAAACGAATTCAAAACCGTAATCAACAACCAAATTAAACCCTAAACCAAATGAATAGAACCGAATATTTAAACATAGACAAAGCGAGAGCGAGAGCGAGAGCGAGAGCGAGAGGAAGAACAGCCAGACGGAGAAGACAAGCGAGAGCGAGAGGAAGAACGAGAGCGAGAGGAAGAACAAATATTTCACTTTTTACCATTACATCCCCCATTTTTACAATATTACATCTCTACCCCTCTACAATTTAACTAGTCAAACTCTTATTTTTAATTAATTTCTTTTTAACCCCGGTTGTCGAACGGATGTTTGTTTTCAGTTGTCAAAGAATCGTTTTCCCAAAGAATATCGGTTAAGAAAGATATGATACAATAAAATAATATTTATGTTTTTTTAAGATAAGAGACCCCTTCTATATTTATATGTTTGGTGGACAAGAATGACATTCTCTTATAATATTTTTGGGTTCCATTGCTCCTAGGGCATGGAGGAATGATTTATTCGATCTCAATATCAATCATCCAAAATTGCATAAAACATTATGAGAGTTACTTGCTATTGAAGAAGTGCGAGAAATAAAAGCTCTGGGGTGGTTTCTGCCATTGCCTATGAGCTTTGCATTGCATACATAAACCAAGTCTTGGTATTTATTTAGACATGTATGTACAGTATCAGAACTTTCACAACCTATCATACCAGGTCAAATGATGCTGTAAAACTCATTAATATGTATGAGATAACAGGTGTTAACTTCAATGTGAATATGGTTAAATTATGCAGTGTACCCTATAATCACTGTTGTGTAATATTCATGTTAGGGATGCACAAATTCATCTATATACACTTACGATTGCATATGTTTTCTTTAAACGAATTGTCCGTGTTTACCTAAAAATTTCTGTGGGAGTTAGGCTAGGAATCCAATGCTGCAACCACAACCTTCAAAGCCAAAGTGGAGGCACATGCAATCATCCATACTCCGTTAAAGTTTGAAAATGGATACCAAAAAAGGTGCAGCTTCGCCATCATAACAAGCCAAGACAAAAGTTTATGCCTGTAACAAAAAAGAGAAAAGTAGAATAACTGGTACATATTCCACTTTTCATTTTCGAGTTTGGTGGTTGACTTGCACCACCCAAAAACAATACAATACGATAAAATAAAATCACAGTAATCAAAAGAGAACTGGAGCATGATCAATATAACTTACGTGTGCACAAGGTTCTCCGACATCTTGACTTCCACCCTCATATTGCAAGCTCACTTCAATGAAAAACGAAAACTAAATAAATACCTTAAAATCATGATGTCTAACAGCCAAAATTAAGAAAAATGTTGCTTCTTCAAAATATGAACCTGCAAGAAGTTAAAAAAGAGAATGCGCATTTAGATATTCAAATGTAAAGGAAATAGTTTGGGACCATAATGTGACATTAATTTTGATATTTTGATTACTCTAGTACAAGATCCAGAAGAGGATGCTAAAATGCATAATTTGCTGTATATTACATGGTTGAGCCCTCAAAGAAGGTTTTTCAGAGACAGATACACAGAGCCCGTTTGACATACTGGCCACCTCCAAACTGCATGCATTATATGCTTGTGGCACCAATGGAGGTGGACAGAATGCCAAAATGTCTATGGAACAAGACCTCTGAGAAACCCTAGAGAGCAAAGGAAAAGCAGAAGGAAATGGAGATTCTAGCTTGAGTTTTACTGGAGAAGGGGATTTGTAACAAAGAGAAATGAGGACAAACAACAGGGTTTTTCTGTAATTGTATATTGAATAAGATGGGCTTTTTGTAGAAAGAAGATGACCAGCGTGCCTGGAGCTGTACGACCTGTGGGAATATGGTGGGCGCTATATGTTGCAGTAAAGATAAAAGACTTTTAATTCAACCTTGGTTTTGTCTTCACCAGTTTACTTCTAATATCTGCTAATGTTTGTGTAAAACACCAATATTTTGCATTGAAAATTCAGGTGAAACTATGCGGAGACTTAGCTTTGTAGCGTGTTATCTATCTTGCACCAGGTTGCAGAAATGTGGCTTTCTTTTCCCTTGACTGTATGATTGGCATGCGCTTTCACTGTGCTTTTTTCACTTGCTGCAAAAGGAGGATGCAAAATGCGTTGTCCATGTCTCCCACTCAGCTTATAACTACTTTCTCAACAAATATATACACACATGCAGCATCATTTATAATCATTAAAGAACATGGTGCAATTAATGGGTGGGAACTGGAAACTTGTATAATTCATGTCTAGACCTGACAAACAAAATTAATCTGCCATGATGTTGGTATAAAAAGTAATCAATTAAACATTAAACGTAGAATGTGTTTGATTGAAAATTCAAGTGTGAGTTGAACCTCATTAGATCTTAATGAAAAAGTTAACTAACTTATAAATTATAAAGACCCAAAATCTAATAACAAAGTGTGTCATGTTCATTGATATGGAATGAATGATTATTGTACCATTTTTCTACAAATTCAGCCATAGACAATATTAATGGGTCAGCTTATTTACGTCTAGGTCTAGTCGAGTGAACCTATATATGTAACATAAAATGGATAATTTTGGTCTATTACAAAATTCAGTAAGACCTAATTGCAAACGTGGACTTTATTGATATGTAAATTAGACTTGTAATATTCATAAATACTTTTTTGTTTATTGATTATGACTTATGAATTATTCATAATTAGAGACAATTTCATTAGTTGATTATAAACTTTAGGCTTATATCATTTTATTATTTGATTTGGATTTTGAAAGAAAGCTTCAATATCTTGAGTTGTAGTTAATTACATCCAAGTGTATATCGAGTAACTTGCGAGTTGTATAAGGTGGGAGAAAACAGAATATCAATATTGAAGATTGGTCTCCTCGGTTTCTCTTCCTTTTAAACGAGGAACTCTCCTCTCATGAGTTGTAAAATGTAGCTAGAAGGTGTTAAGAAATATAACTTTTTTTTATAAACGAGCTTTTTATTTTCGTAAAATTAATTCATTGCAGTGGCTTCAATTCTGTATTTAAGGAATTGTGTTTATCTTGTGTTTTCTATATCACTTGTCCTTAAAAAGAAAAATACGTCAAAAACAATTCTATGAAATTCTGTAGGAAATATTAATGGAGAAAAAAAAAACTTTAAAATAAATTAATGTTGGAACCATTTCAGTCTCTATTCTCTTTTATAAAATACCTTTTTGCAAGTCATGTCATGATTCCAAATTTCTACTTTTCTCTTTGTAACAACTTATAATATTAAAAAAAAAATCAGAACATAAATAAACTGATTTGAAGTTTATCTTAGTACTTGTCCATAGAAATAAAAAAAAAAAAATCAAACTCTTCCTTATTTTTTTAATACCACAAACATCACATTCAATAAACTAAACCATAACAACTTTGTCTTGCACTATGAAACTTGCTACAAATGCTATATATAATTCACTATAATTTTCAAATTACATGAACCTTCTGGCTGGTAAATTTAAATATATTACCTCTTCGTTTTCTTTCTTTCCTTCCTCTGTTTCTATTGCGATATACAATAAAGATAAATAAACTACATTAACACTCTTGTTATGAGCTTCTTCTCCCCATGAATTTTTCCTAATTTTATGTAGTTTCATCATGCATCTTCAGTCCACATAGCGAACTATAATTATCAGTTCGTACGTAGGACCATCACCAATCTATTTAGCACTGGCTGCACTGCTGTTTCCAAACGCAGGACGATCATCGTGAACGATTGTTTCAACTGGGTTTTCCGTTGCCCAGACAGCCGCATCTAGATATCCAAGCTCAAAGAGTCGGTCAAGAATTGCATCTTCTGCTGGTTCAAGTGCCCAGTTGAAAAGCTGCAATGATTTCATTTAGAATTTTCATCTACTTAACCTTAAGAAAACTATTATGTTAATTCACAGAATGAAGTATTACCTGTCGTGGGCTACATGCATTTTCTGGATTGCAGTCTGGACTAATTCCTATCCCTTCCAATCCCAATCGACTTGCTGGGAAAGCACAAACACGAACCTGTGGAAGTCGTAGATACTTACTTAGTTTGAAATGTGACAATAAATAAACGTGATAAATCATAGATATGTTTAGTCACGTCTGAATTGAAATATCACAATCAAAGTGCATAAAAGTAAATATTTTCAATCCTTTAAAAAATCAAACCTACCAAGGTTCCTCATAGTTCACCTATCTCTAGAACACCTTTTGGATTTAAGTCTCGTTTAGGTGATAAGAGAAAGTCAGAATCATTTCCTTAGCCATCATGTTATATCTTAAATCCTCAAATTAATTATATTGAATAGAAATCATGGGGTTTCAAGTATTGAAGCTCGCAATAGACAGGAAAATGCCAAAAGGTTAGTTTTGAAACTGGAAAGTATCTTAAAAAATGAATAGCTTAAAATGATATTTCCTACCCTGAGGTTAAACTTTCAATCAATTATTGGCAGACTATCTAATTAAGTCATCTTTTGGAGCGTGTTCAACAGAGAAAAACTGGAGCGAAAATGCCCTTCCCTGTCCAACTTCACTCTTTCGATGGGAAAAAATAGCAGGGAAAGAAAAGAAAATATGGAAGTCGCGTTAAAACATTTTCTTCCCTGGACCAGGGGTAATATTGGTTATGAGGACAAAAGATAATGAAATGAGAAATAGTCCTTTCCCAATTATATTTTTTTACATTGTGAAGATTTAAATTTCATTTAACATGATCATCTTTTTTTCTCACTTTTCTTTCTCTCCATCAAAACAATAACAGAGAAAATTAAAATTTCTTTTCATTTTTTCTTCTCTTCATTTTTCTTTATTCTCAATTTCCCTTTGCATTCAAACAAAAATATTGTATGGGAGCACGCAATAACCATCCCAATCTTGTATGACACCTTACAGAAGGTGACCAAGAGAGTATTTCATGCAATGCAATCATCTTTTCCTTGCAAATCAGAATGATTTCTAAGTTTGGCCTAAAAAATTTGTTTTCCAAGTAAAGAATTAACATATTATAAACCTCTCAGTGCACTTAATCAGAGGTTTCAACAAATAATCAATCAACAGAATCATTAGTCCAATTAGTAAATAGCAAAAATACCGTTTGTGCAGCAGATGTTGGTGGCATAAACAAAGTCAAACCCCCATCAATGCATAATCGATTCCGAAACATTGTTGCTGGCCTTGGAGCAAGATATCTGGAGTGAGAATAAGTATGTTCAAATATATTTAATAATCTATAACAAGTACAAAAATCACATGCAACTAAGGAAATATAGTACTAACAAATCACCCTGGGATAAAGGAAGAGGTAAAAACTGCACTGATGAGATCTTCCTTGGAAGCAAACTGATCTACCAACAAACCCCTGGGTCTCCAAAGAAGCTGTGTCACAGCAACTGCAACAGAAGGTACATCATAAGGCACCGCAAGACTTGAAAAATTCTTCACTTCTAAGAGAACTTTAAGGGTCATTTTTTGGCCCAAAAGTTCAAAAGATAAAAAAGAAAATCCTTTTTTTTTCCAATAACATAATAAACTGAGGTTATAAATATAGTTTAAAAATCTAATTGATGAGTCTAATTATTGTGGACAGTACAGTATATCTTTTCTAGTTTAGCAGGTGTTAGTTCCACTAGTCCTAAACAAATAACAAAAGGATTTACAGTTTTGTTCTTTGCACAAGGCAGCTCCATAACTAAAATCACAAAAGTGTTTAACATCCAGAATTACCTCGGACTCTCCCATTAGATCTTATATGAACATCATCCGGCAGAAATTTGTCAAGAATATCACGTAGAACAGCCTGTGCAGAGAAAAATTGAATCAAAATGGTGAGATTTGAACCTTAACCGAGAAAATTATTTTCATTACATCTTTGACAGGTCACACAGCACATCATGCAGGCTCTTATTTCAATTTCAGAAACTCACATTTCAATTAACTAAAAAGTTTCATTAATAGCTATATCCCAAAACAAATATATCTGGTAAAAATGCCAAACTGGCCTTTTCTTTTACCATTTTCTAACAGATATTTCATAAATCAAAAGTTCCAATCGTATCTGTTAAGGTTCCAACATAAAACCAATTGGCAATATGTGGAGTAGCCTAACATGTATTTAAACCATACCAAATGACATGAGGTAGGCGATGTGGGACTTTCAACACACCCCTCTCCAACGAAGCCTGCCGGACCAAGCAAATGGTACTTTTAACCCAACTAAAGGGCAACTTTTGGCCCATGACAATAACCGGAAAGATGTTAGGCTTTGGCTCTGATACCATGTTAAGGTTCCAACATAAAACCAATTGGCAATATGTGGAGTAGCCTAACATGTATTTAAACCATACCAAATGACATGAGGTAGGTGATGTGAGACTTTCAACAATATCTAAAGAAAGTGGCATAGCTATAAATGCAAAAGAAATTGGGGTTACATTACATTGATTACGTAACCTAGTACTAGTCAAATCCTGGCTATCAAGTTTTCTTTGGACTCCAAACTCGAAACAGTCTCATTTCATCTATCACTTATTTGTCTCCATGGTTCTTGTTGGAGATGTAATATAAAATCATTCATGTTGTATTTATCTAGTTGCTTAAGCATTTGGCATAGTTGGTTCATGACATGGTATCAGAAAACTTGTGCATTGTCCATGCTTCTAGCCCAAGCCCCAAAGGACTCTTGCAAGGGGGTTGTGTTAGAAATGTAATATAAAACCATCTCATATCTTCGGTGGAACAACTCAAACTTTTGCAAAGTTGATTCATGACAGTTCTAATTCTTACTACAGTCCAGTGTAACAACAACAATTCACACTTCATCCAAAATGAGACTACATATGTCTATATAACAGACCAAGCCAACAACTGATTAACAAGCTTTTATCCAACACACCTGTAGTTATAGACAGCACTGTCTTACATTAAAAGGCATGAGTACCAAGGTTTCTGTGTTTGCAGCCTATAATGGAAACATTATCCGATAAACATGATCTGCATTCAGGACTACTTATGTGTCTAAGAGAATTTATATTAATTTTATGCAAATATAAATATTATTAGAAGTAGAGCAGGGAAGGTACTAAGTAAAATAGGCGATAAAATTCCCCTAAGCATAAAAAAGAAAGCAGGTGGTAAAAAGTGCATCAAAGTTGTTCAATCTTGTTTCAAAAAATGATAAAGGCAATCCTCTTAAACAGTTATTAGACCTTGAACACATTAGAGAGGCCATAAACAGTCACACACAATGCTATTCAATAATGATTTCATGTAAAACAAAATACCCTTAAATCTCCAACCAAGTGCACCAAAGACGTGCACAGATTGTACATTGTCACATGTGTTTTTCTTTATGGCAAACCTTCAAACCTTGATAGCAGAAATTGTTCTCAAGTGAAGTGAATGGGCATACCTACTGCTCCCCAAGGATCTCAACAAACTATTTCATATAAAGGAGGCCGCCTTACAGCACAAGAACACTTTGTTCGGTTGTTTGAAGACTAGAGAAGCACATAATCATATATCAAGAGCAAAATCAATGTAAGGCTTACAGACTTGCAACAAATCATTCAAACAATTCCTATTAAGTACTGCCGTCCAGACAAAAAGACTTGTGTTTTGGAGGGAGTTTTGGATTTCCAAATTAGCTCGTGAAGATGAAACATCTAAAATTGTGATGCTACAAGTGCAAGCGAGAAAGAAAATAAACGAAAAGAAAACATAGTAGAAGAGTCATATAGTCCAGATACAGCAGAAGAAATTCTAGCCCGCTAAATTCCTTATATTTAATCATCAGTAACAGTGAGCAAGTATACAAAGTAGTTTGAGAATAGAGCCATAGATACCCCCAAGCGAAACGCAGTCCCTCGATTCCGACAATCTTCAGCCAATATTTTAGTGGCAGTCAAGGCATCTTCCATACTAGCTCCAGAAGCAATCACAGCACACACTATTGCTCCAGCAGAGGAACCAGCTAACGGCGTCGTTTCCTGCACTTGCATCACAAAACTCTCTCATTATACACTCAATAATACTATATCAATCCAATATAACATAATGTAATATATATAAACACCATGAGTAACCTTAATGTAACCATTTTGAATGAGAAATTGAGCAACACCGAGATGGTAAGGGAAGAGAAGACCAGCAGCAGAGAAGCTAAAGCCGGGGGTGGTGACCACGCGCCTGAACCTATTCCGCTCCGCCTCAACGTCTTTCACTCTTTGCTCCCAAACCACGTCCGGGTCAATCTCGTCCTCCACCACCGCCCCGATTCTCTCCTCCGCGTACACTTTCCCCGAAGAATTCACGAACATGGCAACCGAACCCGAATCGCCGATGAGGCTGCTTCCCTTGTTGCGGCTCTTGATGAGCCGCGACGCCAGCCCCATGAAGAGTTCGCCCGTGGTCACGGCAAACGATTTCTTGGCCGTGGCGTCGTTTTGAACATCCCCCTGAGGTTGAGATGGAGAGGAATTGGATGCGAATGTGATGAATTGGGTACGTCGACGGAGAAGAGGGAAATTAGGGTTGAGATTTGCATAGGGAAGACGGATAGCGTGGGAGGAACAGATGCTGGGACCCATCCCTGACCACGCTGAGTTGCAACACACACTCTTCCTCTTGCTTGTGTTGTGTGTTTGTATGGTTCGTTACTCAGTTTGTTATGGTCGGTGAGACAGTCGAAGCATGTTTAACGTTTTTCTCTTTCTCACAATAATAATAATAATAATAATAATAATAATAATAATAATAATAATAATAATTATTATTATTATTATTATTATTTTTACTTCCACCACCATGTGGATGCCTCTGCCTCACACATTTTATCAATTGGACTCCAGGCCTACTTTGCCTTCCTATTCTTTCCCGAGTTTATTGGTTCTTTTTGCATCTCATAATTTCTTTTTCACGTTCGTATCCTAATTGAATATTTAAAATATTTTTTTCATAATTTTATTTTTTATTTTAATTTTTTTTTCTATTTTCATTCCTTAACTATTTGATTTTTTTTATCACATCCATTCCTCGATGACTCCATGACTATATTTTTGTGTGTTATCACCTTCATTAAATACCTTTTCTAATAATTAAAAGCAAGTAATTATTAATATTATGTATGAATTATATGTTCTTATTATCAAATTGCACAAATTGACTTACATTACTCAATTGTGTTGAATATAGAGAAAATATGGTTTGGAATTAATTTCCCTTGTGTTGAAAGTCCCACATCGCCTACCTCATGTCATTTGGTATGATTTAAATACATGTTAGGCTACTCCACATATTGCCAATTGGTTTTATGTTGGAACCTTAACATGGTATCAGAGCCAAAGCCTAACATCTTTCCGGTTATTGTCATGGGCCAAAAGTTGCCCTTTAGTTGGGTCAAAAGTACCCTTTGCCTGGTCCGGCAGGCTTCGTTGGAGGGGGTGTGTTGAAAGTCCCACATCGCCTACCTCATATCATTTGGTATGGTTTAAATACATGTTAGGCTACTCCACATATTGCCAATTGGTTTTATGTTGGAACCTTAACAAATTGAAACAGTTTCGTGAAAATCAGGTTGAATTTCAGAATATCCAATCCAAAATATATTTCGAAAATGTCTTCTTGTTATTTTCATGATATCTTTTTGTGCAATGTAATTTTACATTATTATTAGGATTAGGGGATGTGATTATCAACGCACAATTCGTGTTTGCCCAACTATCTCTATAAGACGTAGGGTTCGTAGGGAATCAAGTGTTATTAATCCTCCAGTAGATGAACGATATTAAAATCCTCCAACACATGATCAATCTTTTTCAGGAGAGCCTGTAGATCCTTCCTTATTAATCAGATATGAAAATCATGTTGCCCATAGTCTATGGGAGGGGGTGGTAAGTGTCTTCCATATAAGTTAGTGTATATAAAGATTAATGTTATTAAATTTAAACATACATTAGTGTATCTTGTAGGATTGTGGGGAGTTAAAATGTGTTTCCCATAGAAAAAAAATAAATAAGTTGGGGGCTACATACCCGCAGATTGTGGTCGTTATTAAGTTATCAAGGTTGGAAGCACTTGTGGGTACTAGTAATGAGACGATAGATAAGTGACTATTATCTACATTTGTTAAGAGATGACTTAGTAAGACTAGTAGCTTCCATCTACACACAGGTGAGATGACCATCACACTAGATGATGTGTCTTCATTATTGCACTTGTCAATTATTCGCCAATTCTGTAGTAATAATCACTTGGAAGCACGTGAAATGGTTGATGTGCTGATATAGCTCTTAGGAGTTGATTTTGAGATGACTTCTACAGAGATGAGATATTATTGAGGTGGACATATTCGTTTTAGTTGACTGCAAGAAGTGTACGATGATATTCGTACACACAGAAGATGAAGAATTGCAGCTAGAGCTTATTTGATGCATATAGTGGATTGCACTATATTTGTTGACAAAAGTGCAACCTTCATTAGTGTATCATATTTTGGTTTATTTTGAGATCTGACCAGTTGTGATGAATATTCTTGGGGAGCAACTGCAATCACTCATATGTATGAGCATCTCCATGATATGTCTTATGTCAACACAAAATAGTTAGTTGGATATTCGACTTTATTACAGGTATAGTGATATTATTGGATTCCTTTACTATGTTAGCTTAACATGGAGTGATTTTTTATTGATTTTTTTATTTAAACAGGCTTGGATATATGAGCATTTTCCTGGATTAGGTTTTATAGATATGGTGGAGGATTATGATGAGGAATCCCCACATTGTATGAAGTTTGTTGTCGGCAGATTATCTATTATTTCCACCATCCACTTTCAACTAGACCATTTGTCATTAAATACAGTGGTGACATGGATGCCATATGGGGATCATAGGGAAGCTCAACCATTCGAGTTTATTAGTATGTTCTCGGGGTACCTTAGATTGAGCTCTCTTTTTCATCTATATTTGCCAAAACGTGTCCTTTGACAATATGGTTATGTTAAAAAAATTTCACGTCATCCATTTTTCCTAAGTGATGCTCCACCTACAATAGCAGTGTTGGATAATCGATGGTTGCATTTTCTTAATCATTTAGTTGTTGATCTCACGGAGGCGCCTCATCCATCAACATAGTTGATGATTATTGTACTATTCCTCTAGCAAACTATAATTTTACTGTGTGTTGGCATACTATATTAACTTTGTATTTGACAGACTATAATATTATTGTATTTGACAGACTATAATATTATTGTATTTGAAATGCTATAATATTATTGACAACAGGTAGATATATTATAAGACAACAGGTATATACATGCTAATTGTCAACAAGGTTAATATAATGTTGTCTAATGTCAATTAATGACGAACATATTTGCATCCGACCAATATAGTAATACATTATTTCAGTGATAAACATATGACAATGACATTATAAAGACTTGCAATCATATAACTCATATTAGGAATATTCATCCACTTGTCAACATTTTCCTGAATAAATAAATATAGTAATGCATTGTCTTAGTGATAAACATATGATGATGAATTTTTATAAGTTATGGAATTTAGTTGTGGCCTTACCTGAGTCATCTCTTCAACAAGGAGTGATTTTTTATGATACTCAAAACGTTCTTCACCTCCAAATAAATGTGCATATTCGTGACGCCACTCAGCAAATTCCTTAAGCAAGTTCATCTTAATAATTGGACATGAATCTTCACGCATTCCCAATAATGCAGCAACAACATGATAACCACAATGTCCATCGATCTTCACATCAACTATGTATTGATGAATTTCAGTAGGAAATTGGCCTAACATAGGTATTGATTTGGTGGCCAACTCATACTTTTTGATATGTCCCTTACTTGACTTCAAAGTAGACGAACTATCATGTTTAGAATGAAATGCATCAACATGCTCCTAATAAGATTGGTCACACTTAGTAGATCTAGCAAGTTTAGTACTACGACCTTTTGTTTTCACCTTCTCCACAGGGGCACACAATGATGTCAAATTTTGGTATGCAATTTCAGGAGCTTACTTTTTATATTAATTTTACTTGCAATGTCTACTTCTTGGAATCTCTTAAAGATAGCATCAAATTCCTGTTGAACAAACAACTGTGTCACTAATTGTTCCGATGACATAGCAAAAAATTATAATTGAGTCCATATCACATGCACTAAGGCTAATGGTATGCTGCCAACATCACATGAAACTAATTCACAAGCATAAAGAAGGCCATGGGTAAATCTAATTATACACCCATAACATTTATTATTCATCCCAACATACCTGACTCGATCATATTTTTATGCAATATGACTTAATGCATACTTTGATACAAAACCTTGCAAATTTTTATACATGGTTGTATTAAACATATGACCCACCACTTGAAGACTCTTATGAATTAAAGCTTTAATATCATTATGTTGTAATGTTATAATATCATTCATTCAATCCCATCAGTAACACAAGCCTCCTACATTACTTTGTGGCATTCTTCTGAGAGTTTAATGTGCAACTTCAACCCTACATGTGAAATTATAATTAGTAAAATGTATTAAATATACAATGAATAAAACAACTATAGTGTATTTTCATACCTATTACTTGTGGTGTTTCCTAAGTGCATCACTTTATCAGTCCATGCCTTAACAAACTTTTCCTTATGTGGAATTCACCATATGTCTTTGACATATTGCTTAAACATAGGTCACGATAAACAAACAACTTCAAGGATTGTATCACGATATTCAAATTCATCAACTTCATTACAATCCATAACACTTCCCCAAGTATTCTTCACTTGTTCCCACACTTCTGCTTGATGCACTAATATTTTTCATTTTGCTTTAACATTTTTTTACTATATGAAAATGACATAAAAGATTGGTTGTCTAAGGAAACACAATTGTAATTGCATTCATTAACACCAAATCCCTATCGTAAACCAATATCTAAGGGAGAAAATCAACTCTTAAAAACAAGCCTCTAAGTCTTTTAAGAGCCCAAACAAAATTCCTTTCACGTTCAGCACCCAATAATAGAAATGCAGTAGAGAATGTCAATTCAGTGGATGTTACACCAACAATAACAAGTAAAGGCAACCTATACATGTTAATTTTGTAAGTGTTATCCATCATTAGGGCTGTCAAAATGGACGATCCAACGTGGCTTGGTCTGGCCCAACGGGCCGAGTAAAAATTATCTAATGGTCTAACTTGACTTATATTTTAAAACGAGCCAAAAAATGTTGTCTGGCCTATGTTAGGCCAACGGGCTAACATACCATTTTTTGCCTAATTAAAAATAATTTTCTTTATTTATATAATTTTTTTTTAATTTTGTTTGGAAAAATTATGTCATCCATTTGTTTATTTAAAATTAACTCATAATCTATTCAAGTAAAATAAAATCAAATGTATAAAATCATAAAAATGAGTTGTTACAATAATGTAGCCTTGAGGAGTTATAGTTGTTCATTCAATTAAACATATCCTACCAAAAATATTAGATAACATATCTGTTGAAAGTCCCACATCGCCTACCTCATGTCATTTGGTATGGTTTAAATACATGTTAGGCTAATCCACATATTGCCAATTGGTTTTATGTTGGAACCTTAACATGGTATCAGAGCCAAAGCCTAACATCTTTCCGGTTATTGTCATGGGCCAAAAGTTGCCCTTTAGTTGGGTCAAAAGTACCCTTTGCCTGGTCCGGCAGGCTTCGTTGGAGGGGGTGTGTTGAAAGTCTCACATCGCCTACCTCATGTCATTTGGTATGGTTTAAATACATGTTAGGCTAATCCACATATTGCCAATTGGTTTTATGTTGGAACCTTAACAATATCATATCCTATAAGAAATATTAGATAACAAATCTTTTAACTTTTTCTTTTTAGTTAAATATACATTACAAACCTATGTAATTGAAGTGTTTAAAATCAGGATTCAAAACTTTATTTACCTTTCAAACTCTCTCATACCCAACATAGGTAAATTGAAGATTATGCTTAATAATGCATCTAGTAAGTATATCTCGAGTAGATTTTAATTTTCATTACTTCAACCAGCTACCCTTATTATCCAACATAACTCCTGCATCATGATATTTTGAAAATACACTATATTTAAGAATATGTCGTCTTAAATTATTAGTTTTTAAAAACAAATGTGACGACAATAATAGAAAAGAAGGAGATGACTAAAACAAATGAATATTATGTTTATTATTCTTTTTAAATTATATATATATATATATATATAACAAAAAATATTATCAAATTAATTTATTATACATATATTGTATAATAAAATAATATTAATTTTATTTTATTGGTAAAATACTTAGTATTTTAATAAATTGGTCAGTCTATAAGTCTATGGGTTAGGTTGACCTAAGTTCATTTAAGTCTCACCTAAATAGGTTAGACAAAAATTTATCTGGTTCTATTTAGGCCATAAATTTTTTTGGCCTAGCTTATTCTATTTTTTGAGCCTTTCGAGCTGATTTATCGGGCTAAACCTATTTTGACACTCCTATCCATCATCAATACTAAATTAAATGCACTCAATAATTTGACAGAATCAAGTTATGTTCAAAAAATATTTGTTACATTATTTGTAGACTTATCAAACAAATGCTAGTGAATATTCTGGTTTTGCTCCAATAACTTCATTAGTTGTTACATTTTAGTTCTGTGATCTCTTATACTTCTATGATATGTGTATCTTGCATTATACACTTGTTTTATATTTGTAACATTCTTTTCATTGTTTTCCTTCAGGCAAGTATAATATTTCTAGGCTTACTAAACTCTTTGTCATATCAACTAGTATGAACTTATTATTACTTGTTAATCTACCAGGATATGGATGACCTACTAACGTATCAGCTAAGTAATGATTATGACTTCCACAAACTAACTTCAGAATCCATATGTCTTCCTTCCTATATTTACCACCTCTTTCATAACCTAACAATACATATGTTTTCCTTCTTTAGTGATCATTTGTTGTATCCGACCTAATATAACATCCACAAATCCAAACCTAAATGCAACCTCTCAAACCCATTTCAACAAATCATCTCGTGTAGCAAATATTTATATCAATGAATATAAAATTAATATATATGCAATTTATAAGTTATATCATTAATATATAACTAAAATTTTACCTCATCTGTTATGAATACATCAGTACAATAAATCAAATTATCAGGAATGTGATTATCTATATTATTTAACCCCATTAATATGTCAACTTCATCTAACATATTATTATTTAATAAATCTTCCTCCATTGCATATGTAAACAAGAACTTCAAAAACTATAAATTCAACATTGCATTATTTCCATCATACTTTTATGGAGGGTGAGATGCATTTCTGGAAATCAATTACGAAAAGATAGATCCAGAATGTATTTTTGAGAAATTAATTCCGGAAATACATCCTGGATTGGTGGAATACACTTCTAGAATTCCAAAACATACTTTTTGAAAAAAATCTCCAATTTTCTCACTCCCTAAGACGTGTTTCTAGCCAAAAAAATTGTTACATGAACACTGTACATGTAAAAATTTGATACAAAATAACAAAGTTGGACATTCTTACCTATTTCTTGTAATTTTTGGAATAATAAGAGAGGAAATAATGAAAATGTTGTAATAGGGCTTATAAAACAATCATTGAACAAAACCAGAAATAAACACTAATGGAAGATGAAGATAAGTGTAAGGGCAAAATGAAATTTAATTTAATTATGGGGTGCAGAGAAAAATTATGAGGGTGCAGGAAGAAAGAGTCGTGTTGCTTTCAGAGGAAAATTCCACTGGGCTACCAAACCCAACTATCACTAAAAATGAGGTCTTCTCCTCACCCTACATACTCTTGTACAGGGTATTTTTTTTATTTTACAAAATCATTAAATTTGAATTGTTTTCATTTTAAATTATTAAAATTTTAAAATTATTTATTTGGAATAGATAGTTCAAATTTCTTGAATTTTAATTTCTTAGATAGAATATTTTAATTATTATGAAATACAAAAAATATTATTAAAAGATCTATTAATTAGATTTAATTCACATTTTTGTTTAAGTTGGATGATGAGCTAGATTGGACCAAGTCAAATTAGGAGAGATAAAGATGGAGATGTTGAGTTAGATCATACCAAGTAGAAACTAGAAACAACTTATGTCAGGGTAAGATAAAATAGAGCAAATCAAGAAAGGTTAGGTTAAGATGATTGAATATGATCAAAATGTGTCCAGTCTAATAAAAATGAGTTGGATAGAGTTAAATCAAATCATATCATATCGATTCAATATTATTTAGATCATTAATGAGATTAAAAAATGGTGAAGTTAGATAAAGTTAATCCAAATTAAAATTGACCAAAAATATTATAATTGAAACTAAGTGAATGAGAAAATATGAAAATAAGGTACACAAGTAAAAGGAAAGTTCAAATAATTTCAAATCATTATTTTCTTGGGTGAAATTTAAAATTTTATAATATTAAGTAATTCTTAGAATTTTAATTTCTTTCAAATTTTTTTACCTAAATAATTAATTTTATCACTTGAAACATTATAAAGTGTATGTTAAAAAATTTTCATCCAAATATAAGGTAAGAACTTCAAAAATATTTTTAAATCAAAATAAATAAATAAATAAATATTTAATATATTTGAAAATTTACAAATGTAACGGACATTTTACCCTTCTTTTGTTTATAAAAATATGAATCGGAATGAATTTTGATTATATAGTTTAAAATATATAAATAAAAGGTTCTTTCTTCCACAATGGAAAGATTAAAATTATAACTTAATTATTATCTAAAGTATTTACCAACCTGATACAAGTGATAGACGCTTATTCTATCACTTCAATTTTTAATCCAAACAATTGAATTGCCAAACTGAATCTTGGTGATCATCGCGACAAATTGTCAACTTTCAGTTTGAAATGGAATCAAGAAATTCACACAAACTTAATTAGAGATATCTTATATTTTTAATTAGGTAATATCATATTAAATATGTCTCTTGATTACTTCGGATTTCATTATAAAATATCACGATTGATTATATTTCGTAGGATTTTATTTATAAATTTTTTCAAAAATGTGGAGACTTCTACAATGGAACAATTTTAAACAATTTTTTTTTCTGAATTACATTTGGATAAAATTAATGATAATTTAATATTTCAAAAAAAGAAAACTGATAATTTTATTTTATGAGAAGAACGAGAGAGAGTAACTTCTGTTTTTACATTGTTCTAAAATTTAGTTTGGTTGATTACATAAGTTGTGTTGATTAATTCATGTAAATGTTTTAAAATTTTAACTGAAAAAGTTTACATGATACAGTAGAAAGAAAGCACAAGCAGGTGGAAATTCTAGGGAGAAAAACCGGTAATTGACTTGAATTTTAGTTCAGTGGAAGCATTGATTCATGCCAAAAACTGAAATTGAAGCCACCACTACCAATCCTTGGAGAATCCACCTCAAAGAGGGACTCTATAGGATGGATCCACCATTTTCAAGATGAACAAATTACCTCGATTGCCTCTTGATATTCTGTGAGGATCAGGCATAAGAAAGAAATTCAGACTTAACATCAGCCATGGAATTAACCCCTGCCTTGCATATGCATGAACCATTACTATTTTGACGTTATGCATGTTTAGATATTGTGATTAGTAAACCAAGTATTTGATCTTATCCCATTAATTTAAAAGCACAATCAATATTGAATTCCACAAAGAAATGAAAGAATGTGAGTCAGGAGCAACAGATTCGACACTATAGTCACTGACTTACCGTAAATCTTCATCCAAATAAGTAATTTCCAACTCACCACGACCACTCCCAGGTGATTTAATAGGTATCTGTACATAGCATGATAGACTCAGTTCTCAGTAAAAAAAACTCGGTGAATTGCAGAACAGGAGGAAGAATAACATAATAATAACACAATACATATTTTCATGTAGAACAAGGAATTCAAGGCTTCATCTAAGCCTTTGTATGAGACTCTCGCATTTTAAACTTAAGTGAAGTTCACCATGATTAAGAAATTGGAGCTGACTATGTACTACGGAGTTTTCAACAATTATTATTCCTCAAATTTTATTAATAACGGCAAATAGTCCAAGAATGAAATGTAATTTCAAGCAGTACATCACCTACCAGATTAGCTATCTTGAAGAAGTCAAACTTGACAGCCACTCTTCTTGAGTTAAGAGGCACTAAATTGGCAGTGGCCTGCGGGTGGCAACATGAGATTCCAAAGCAATGTAAAAATTTATTGGCTTTAAGCAGACAAAGTTACTGGTAAGATGCAACCAATTGCTTAGCTTTTATGACTTGAACTGTAAGCACCAAGGGTTTGTTTATCAAAGGCTTTGTAAATGGTTTCTAATGATACTACACACTGTCATACTTAAAAGAAAATTCAAATAAAAAGCATGAGCTCCGAACTGAATGGAGCCAGCCATTTTATATAACTTGAAAATCCCCACTTAAATTTAAGGCCAAGTGCCGAACTGAAAAAACAGTATTTAGATCCACAGGCTGGCCTGAGGTATCTAAGGACAAAGTGAAACTGAAACTGCCATTTGTAACATAGTGCTCGAGTGCTAACAATGCATCTGTGTGTACAGATCAAGTATAATCCATGTATCTCAAACACCATTCCCAAGACGATTTCTCTAGAATTGTCATGCTCATGTTCATCTAAAACAGAATCATATTAGAACAACTCATGTCATTGCCAAATTTTGGTTCCCATTTCAACTACATAGATTTACACAAATTTCACAAGAAACCACTGAACTGAGCTTACTTTTTCAATGTTAAAAGTCCTGTCCCATAATAATTTTCTCTTCAACTAGCATGACTAGTAGATATACTTCATGAACCTGGTTACATGAATAAAAGCTGAAGTACAACAGAGAATCAGCATTGTCTGTGTTTTCAAAACCATATAAACAGATACTTAAAATAGTGCTTAGAACTGTAGTACCTGGTTGTAGAACGGCCAAGTTTCAATATTTTGAGCTCTCAAGCTATCCACGTTGATGGCCTGATATATCTTTCCATTTGGTCGCAAGAATTTCGGTCTCTGGGATAGTTATACTACAATTAATTTTCACTTCACTAACGATAAAAAGAACAAAATTGAGAAAAGGAATAAGGGTCCTGTGTGTAATTCTTGTTTGAAGTGTGATCAAATAAGTCCAAGGAACAATGAATGACTAATATGAGTGTTGCAAAATTGACTTGTTCATAAATCTTCACTGATCTTGATCCGAATTCCTCATAAGTTAATAAGTCATCAAAATTTCAAAATAGACTAATGGACCCCTTTAGAGTTGAGATCAGGAGGAGTGTTTTCCAAATTCACAAGTTCCAGTCCAACAAAAATAATAGTAATAAGAAAGTGTTCTTAATTCAATTTGGGAGCATGGAAGTATAAAAGTGTGAAAGAAAACTGAATTCGAAACCCCTACAGACAAACCTGTGTTTGCAGAATTGATTGAGACGTCGTATACAAAAGCTCCCATTTCCCATTGAGCAAATCAGACCTGAGAGGCTCCTTGACAATATTCACAGCCTCAGCCTCAAGTTTACGAGCAATCTGGATAATTAAGACCCACTTATAATCGCAATTCACAAACAAGGAAACCAAAAAAGACAGCGAAAACATAGCCACTTGGACCTGTTCCACACGTTGTTGGTCCTCAGGAGTAGCCTCAGCACCTCTGTCAAGGGGTGCAATTCTTTCATAGAGCTCCAGCTTGAGGCTCTCAACATCTCTACCTTTAGATAGAAAACCTGGGAAAAATGAAACCATGTTCCTCCACTTCCCAGAATCAGCTACTTGTAATATGAGGTGGGTGGTGTTCAATTTTGGTGGTGAGGATGATGAAAATAGAGGATTTGGCTTTGAAGGGTGGGAATCAATTATGCATTTGAAGGACAGAGTAGCAGTGGGATTAGAAAGAGCCATTGAATGATGGGTTAGGCTAATGCACACTGGCAACTATTATGATTGGTTGTGAATTGAACATGTGTGAACAAAAATTTAGAATTATGTGTTACTGAACAAATTTTATGCTGAAAATATGAAAATGATTTCAACTTCAGTGTGTAAAATCTGCACTTTACCTGAACAAAATATATATTTCACCATGAAGCCAACATTCATAATTCAGTTCATTAAACTTTGAATTAACAAAACTTCATAAAAATGAGTGAACTAAATACACATGTGGAACTGAAGAGGCCCAACCCAAATGAATGATTGACATCTCTAGGAATCTAATCCACCGAAACTGATGAGCTAAATTAAAATTATTCGCTTTTTGGCTCTGTACCTCTATAATTTCTTGCTGCACCCTATAATCCCATGTAAAATGATCAAAATATCTTTTTACTAATTTTTGTTTGAAATCCTAGATTGCTTCTTCACTCTTATGCTCTTCTACACCTCCATATCTCCTTTGCATCTTCATAACTCCTCCATCTTTGTTTTGTTGGTTTTTCATTTCAACTGAAGATACTTTTCAACCCATAAGATTAGAAATTGTTAACATTTTGTACCTATTACAAAATACTTGTCCGAGAAAACTGGACAAAAAGTGTACCTAAGTATTCAGACACTCGATCCAAAATGCACTTTTAGATTTGAAAGTGAGTTCTAAAACAATTAATAACCCATTTCTAGAGCATCCAATCTGAAAATATATTTTGAATTAGTTATTCTTAAACTTATTTTCGAATTGAGTATTTTAGAAATGCATTCCGGATTGGATGGAAACCCATTTTTGAATTGAGTATTCTAGAAATATATTCTAGATTAGATATTTTGGAAATGAGTTTTGGAATAGTCAATCTAGAATGCATTTCTCAAACACAATGCATTTCCAAAATACATTTTTAGAATATCCAAGTTGGGAAAAAGATAAATATAAATGTAAAATGGAATTTATTTTAATTATGAGATACAAGAAGAAATTATGGAGGTGTAGAAGGAAACATCCCAAATTATTATCGGCTTCTTTTGGAATCCAATAAAGAATTCAATGGCCCGAATCATTCAACCCACGTGCTATTTGCCATAGATTAAGGCACTTTCTTTGTGTATTTCTATAGTTTCTTCCTGCATCTCTATAATTAAATAAACTCATATTTTACCCTTTAACCTATTTTGATCTTTGTAAGTACTCATTTATGCTTTTTAAACCTTTGAATGTCTGATTGTTTAACGTTACTAAAGCATTTGCATTCTTCCTTCTCCTATTATTCCATGAATTGTAAGAAACAGGTAAAAATCTCTAAATATTTTTAATTTGTATCAATTTTTTATCACACAACAAACTTTTTTATTGAAAACATGTTCCAAGATTTGGGAATATAATTCCATTTTTTTTTCTAAAAACATGTTCTGAAAAGTGGTTTTAGAATTGATTTTTTGAAAATACATTCTGGATTAGTGGATCTAGAATACATTTCTAGATTACATTTCGGAAGTATATTCGAACCCATTAATCCGGAATACATTTCTAGAAAATCAATCCCAAAAATCACTTTTTAGAACATGATTATAAAAAAAAATTGAACCAAATCTGAATATCTATGAAAGTGCATGACTTTCGCAAAAAAAATAAAAATAAATTTGAAACAACAATTATTAAAATACTATTTTATTATTTTACTTACTACATAAAGATGCATGGAGAAAATATAGAAGTGCAATAAAAAAAGTTCCTAGATTAATTTCAAAAGCTTCTTCATAGACTAAGCACACAAGTGACTTGTACAAAGTTTTTTCTATAAAAAATGTTGCTTTAAATGGCCTATTCCTTGTGTAACTTTTGAAAGAATTCAATGGCATGATTGATTTAAATATCTATAAAAAAATTATGAACAAAAATATTTTACCTTTTTAACTTTTACTTCTTCATAAATAGATATTTTAAATTGTAGTTCTATTCTAATGAATCTCAAAACTTTTTTTAGTGAATACACCCTTAAACTTTTTATTATTTTTTTACGAATAAGTACCTTAAAATTTATTTTATTTTATTCTTAAAGTTTATCCTTTTGTAAATATTCTCTTATATTAATTTTGGGTTAAACTAAAAATGAAAAAAATATCAATAATTTTTTATTTATTTTTAATCCTGACCATTTGGTATTTTTATTTTTATAAATATTTTTTCAAATATTTAAATGTAAAAAAATTTATAATTAAAAAATAAAAACTTTGTATTGTTTTATTTTATCTAAATGTGCTTTTATATATATATATATATATATATATATATATATATATATATATATATATATATTTAATACGTGAAGAAATGAATTGTAACAAGACAGTAAAAAATAATGAATGATTGACTCGTTACTTAGTGAATGAACTATTGATATTAATTTATGGAATTTAACTTTAAATTGACATGAAAAATTAATTATAAAAAGATAAACATTAAAGAATAATTGAAAAAAAAAGTAAAATAAAGGTATACATGTACGAAAATAATTAAATTAAAAATGAGATAAAGTTTAAGAATTGGTTAAAATAAAATAAAAAATGAAAATATCTATTCATTTATTAAGTGAGATGACACTTTTATCCTATGAACATAACCCTTTTCTACTTTTTCAAATTCTCAATCATATAAACCAAAATCCAAATGCCTTTTGGTTTCGAATAATCATTAAAGTGTAGAGTGATTTTGAGAAAAATATTGGCCGAATTAGAAGTCTTGGAGAACAATCTTGAAGAAGAAGGCCAAATTGACTTGCAAGTTCTAGTATTCAAAAGTTGGATGTATGATTGATTGGGTGGTTGATTTGAAGTAAAAAAAAAAAACATGTGTTTGAACTAGTTTGTGTAGATTTTCTAGACACTTAGTATTTCATGCATAGAAATATTGTGAAATGTTGATCGAGAAAGTTATTTGTTTTGTGTATTACACATCAACTTGTTAGAAACTAATAATTGGGTAGTATTATTTAGAAATGGGTTTTTGGAAGATGTGATAAATATATAAGAGTGTGATGTGTGGATAATGAGGTGGAGTTAGTAGTATGTTGTTAGGAGAAGACAAGCATATGTGAACAATCCAACCACCAAGAAAGTTGCTACGTATTATCTATCAAATTCTTGGTGGTTGGTTGGATGTTTCTTGTTTTTTGTTTTCTCAAACTCAACCTCACCTTGTTGCACCAAACTAACCCTCTATTCATAACACAAACACACACGCTTCCAACTTCCAATGTTTTCTCTTTCTCCATACATTAATAAAAACTATTCTTCGTCTTTAAAAAAAAAAATATTGTATCGTATTACGAAGAGAACTAAAAATAAAAATCTTAAAATATTAAATTATGAATATTTTTTATTTATAAATTACTCATTTTCTATTTCTATTTAATATAAAATTTTAATTCATACTTAATTTTCTAAAAAATTATTTATTAAAACATAAATAAATTTAACATAAAATAAAAAATATAATAATAATTTGATCTATAATTTCTAATGATTCGTCGTAGGAAAAGAAACTTTATTATAAATCATAATTTTTTTTACCTACTCTAAATTTTTAAGAAAATATAAAATAAATATCCTAACATGTAGATACTTAATATTTTTCTTTTTGTGATTGTAAACATTTAGTTTATGGGATAAAAAACAAATATAATCCTCTTAATATCATAGAACAAGACAAAACGTACATTAAATATGGAATTTTCTGCAAACGTTTTTTGTTGAAACAATTTTCTATACATATTTAAAATATTCTTAAAAAAATAAATAACTATAATAAGAATGTAATTTTTTATAATAATAATAATAGTAATAATAATAAATGTTATTATTATTTTCCATGGTTTATCCATTAGAATTGTTGGTATATCCATCGGTTGTTGTCTCCCTTTCGTGATAAAATTCATTTTCGTTATTTTCTCTGTCTAACTATTTTATTTATTCTAAATTGTCTGTAGTCTTTATTTTCTAAATAAATAAACTAACTGGAATCCTTTTTTTCAATAAAATAATATTTTTTATTTGTATATAAATAAATTATATTAACTTTTTATTTTCAGTCGATAAAAAATCTATTAATTGAAAAATAAAATTATTTTAATAATATTATTTCGATATTTATAGTTTGAATAAATGGATCTCTTTTTGAAAATGAGGTTTTTCTGCAATCGGTTCTTAATTAAATTCAACAGTTTCACTAAACAAATATTTATTGTTATATATATATATATATATATATATATATATATATATATATGTGTGTGTGTGTGTGTGTGTTTAATGGTTAATTTTGAACATAAAATAAAATCTTAAAGTAATAAAAAAATATTGAGAGTAAGTGTCAACTAGTTTAGGGTCAAACTTGGTCATCAAGAAGATTAGAAATTGGAATTTCTTTTTTATTCAGTGTGTTATAATTTATGACCCATGTTTTACATTAACCAATCAATTATAAATTAATGTTAGTTCTTGCATGTTTTATTCGCAAAATTAAGAAAACAATTTATAAACATAAGAGATTTCACATGGTCATCTAATAACAAATATTACATATACTAAATTTGATGATTTTTATTACCAATTTATAAGTTATACTTATATTTTTCAATTTGTTGTAAGTATAAAACTTTTTATACAGAAAGTAGATTTGAAATCAAAAGTGATGTTGTCTTCAAAAGAAAAAAGTATTATTTTGATCTCTTAGTTCATGAAAATATAATATCACATATAAAGAAATCTAATTATTCTTCGGAGACAAAAAGGTTATTATTGGACAACAAAACAAGTGTGTGCAAAATTTCTCTCTCTCACTCTCGCAAATAACGAAGTGGTCGTTACTTACTTTAGTTAAAAAAAAAAACGTAGGAACCATATCCTTATGGAATGTGAGTTATGGCACACTTTTTTGGTCATTTTTCTGGTTTCTAATTGCAAGGTTCTATATTATCACGAGAGTTTGTTCTTATCTCTGGATTAGTGACCAAAATATTTTTATTACTTTTTAAGTTTGTATGTTATCTTGTTAATTCACCTAAAACCCATGGTAACTGTAAAATTGTAGAAGAATGCACCATCGCATAGTTCAACCTCTTCAAATTTTAAAACTATACACATCAAACAATCTTCAACTTTCATATTATATAAACATTTACATTATATATATATATATATATATATATATATATATATATACATAAATTTATATTTTTATAAGATTTGATAAAATAAATAAGATAATTTACAACTATAATTAAAAATATTTATTAATGAAATATGAAATCATTAAACAATATAAATTAATCCATGCTCTTTAACAACATTCATATGTTTAGTAATTAGTAATTGATTACCTAACTTTCCGTTCTAATATTTTAAGTAAGTGCAAGTACAATAAAATATCAGTCACCAATCAATCACTAGAGGCATCCAAATAAAAAGAAATCATACCAAAGCACTTTAACAAAATTAATCTATAATAAATTATTGAAACTTATGGCAGTGAAACACCCAGTGTTCTACCAAAACTAAATTATATATTAAATGATAAATTACATGGACCATGTTTGTAAAAGAAAAAGTTTTTTTTTTTACATATAAATAACGCGTTTTCTTGAATTTTGATGGTGCAATGAATAAATATGCATGATGGTGTGGAAGTGGAAGGTGTTGTTGGTGTGCAATGTTTGGGTCTGACAATTACAACGTGCACATATAATTAGTCTCATTGGTGTATAAACCAACAACATGATTCTCCACTTCACAATGCCCCCACGTGCCTCTGTTTCATTAGCCATTTTCCTAGCTTCTTCCACACAAAAGCACCCCCAGTTAACTTAAGCACCTTATTTCTCTGCTCAAATTTTATTATTAATCACACACGTCTAAGATTAATCAAACCACAAATTATTAATATATCTTTCAAGAAGAAAAAAATGTTATTGAATGCTTCTATGCCAAGGCAAAGTTGCAAATCATAACCAAATGGTAGTGGGTATTGGAAATTTGGAATAAGATAATAACATTAACAGCTAGCATTTTAATGAAGAGTCTTGCATGCTTATTTGCATTATTTCTGTTTTGTTCATATAATAACACAATTGGTTTTTGTAAAAAAAGAATTTTAAATGGTTGTTTTCAGTTGGTAAAATTTTTGTCAAAAGGAAAAAATGGTGGTAGTTATTTCTTTTATTTAATTTTGCGTAGTGTGATAATGATCAGGATAATAATATGCTGGAAACATAATATTCGCTTGGCTTTATGCTCAGACACTCTTTATCTTTCTCTTTCACCTTTGCTTCTCATCAACGTTCGGTAGCCTAAAAGTTAGCCCTAATAAAAAAAATTGAAAAAGAAAAAGGAGAAAAAGAGAGTTTACATTTACAAGAATAGGTAGAGGTAGATTGCAGTTAAGAGAGGAAAGTGGGTTTAATGGTTTTTTGTAGAGAGAGATGGGTGTGATGGCCACCGATTTCATGAACACAGCTTTAACCTCTTATTCTTATTCTTGTTGTTGAGTGGTGTTGTGTAGAGAGAGAGAGAGAGAGAGAGAGAGAGAGAGAGGGTGTGGTGGTGATTCCAGATGCTCTGGAAATGGGGAAAAATGAGCAACAGCATGTACAGGAAGAAGGGCAGAGCGGTGGTGGGAGTGAGGCTGAGGCTCATCACTGTTCGACCCTTCTTCGACCATTCAGTTTCAAGTGTCTGTTCCTTCTCCTACTCAGTTTGTCGGCTTTGGTTTCTGCACTCTTTTGGGTTCTTCCTAGACACACGGTTACTTATAGTTTTGATGCAAAAGATGAAATTAAGCAAAGTGGTCAGTCTCACTCGCCTTCTCTTTCCTTCTCAACAATTATGGTATATGGAAATTTTTAATTTTTGCCTTTGGGTTATTTGACTGTCAAATTACTAGTATTTTGGTGATTGAAAATTTTATCTTTTTGATCGGGGGGGGGGGGGGGGGTGGACTGAGAGGTTATCACGAATTTGGGTTTTGAAGAAATTGGGTTTGAGTTATGATTTTGTTTCTCAAAATTAGATTTTGTGGTGTTTTGACTGAATAACTGAGAGTTTCTTCTTTATTTGTTCAAAGAGGAATTATATCTAATCCCTTGAGCAGGTAGATATCAGTGGTTAGTTTGAGTCTATGATCAGTTTAGTTTGATGTTCTGGAAATACAAATTTATGGATCTTTTTGATATATTTTGTGGAAAAGTTGTGTAAACAAAAAATCATTTGATGCACTACATGCCAAGAGGAACCGCAAGAATAGCTGTCAAACGATCATTGATATTCTGTCTGATTAAAGCATTGATTTTTTGAGAGTTGCAATGGTTTGTTGGCATCTGACATACTTATCTGGGTTTGTCTGTTTGATTGTGTGTTCACAACCGTCTTGGATTTAACTTTGGCAGTCGGCTAATGTGATATGCGTAACCCATGAATTGTGGTGAAAGTTTGTACTGGCTCAAGAATTTAAAATGCTGATTGCTACGAGTCACTTTATGTAAAAATTTTGAAAAATATTTGCGAAATTTAGTTTATATGGAACTAAACATTGGTGTAATTTTGTGTAGAATTGTAATTTTATTATTTGAATGAAGCTCTAAATTATCAGTACAGTTAATAAGTGTTGGTGGAATCATTATCAAGACCCTTACTAGAGCATTATACTTGGTTGATATGAACAGTTTGTTTTTCTTCCCTTTAGAAATAATATTCGTGATACGTTTTGTATTTAAATTCTTTTTATACAATAAAGACTTGTTAGTAGTTACAATGGTGAATAATTGTTTATGGATAGTTATATATATTGATCTTGAAAGTTGTAGTCAGCTATGCACTCAAGTCGGAGAACAATGCTTTGATGGCCTAGCATTATGTGACTACATCCAACATGAGTAAACTATTTTTAGGGTGCAATTGTACTGGTGAAACCAAAGTCCTTTTATTGTTCATATCCTTTGCTCTGTGCAATATATGTGATCTGCACAACTGTCCCTGTTAAGTTTGTGTATTGCTTTTATTCTTCTAAGATCAATCTTCTGCATAGTAAACTGTATCTCTGTTAAAACTTTTATGACATCACCAATTTTATTTATGATTTATTTTCCTTGAAAATGTTTTCAGCTACTGTTCAGACATCCTTCAGACTGGAAAAACCGGTTTCACAGCTTATTCCATATATTGAAAAATTAGAATATGATATATATGGTGAAATAGCTCTGCCAAATACAAAGGTTTCTACCTTGCTTCTGTTCTTATATTTTTAGTTTTTTTCCTAAGATTATGTTTAGGCATAGAAAGGGGCTTATAAGCTATTTAATCTTAACAGGTGGCTATCCTGTCCATGCATCAAAGTATTACCCCTAATTGTACTGATGTGGTGTTTGGTGTTCTCTCTGATCCGATAAATGGTTCAATAAATCCAGTTTCCTTGAGTGTGCTGAGGTCAACGTTGATTGACCTGTTTCTCAAACAATCCAACCTGAGTTTGACAGCATCAATATTTGGGAATGCATCAATATTTGAAATCTTGAAGTTTCCTGGAGGATTAACTGTAATACCACTGCAGTCTGCTTATATTTGGTCGATGGTTGAGGTTCTGTTCAATTTTTCTCTTAACAATTCAATATATGAAGTGGTGGAGAGTTTTGATTACTTCATGAAAGACTTGAAGCATGGATTGGATCTAAACTCTGACGAGGTACAGACCCCTAACCTGATTCACATGTTATTTTAAGGGTTTCAATTTTGATTTGTAAATGCCACTGCTTAAAACTCTAAAGCTGTAATCTATTTCCGATTTCTCTTAGACCTGACATGAATTTAATGAGAAAAAATTCTTGTTATCACTTTTTTCACTTGCAAGCTTGGTCCTACTATTATTGCATATGGGTAATTTTGTCTCTCAATGGTTTTTACTTGAATTTAATTTCCCAATTGTTCAATTGTTACAATCAAATCCTTTTGTCAATTTACACTTCTTTAAACTCCCTAATTCTCATTTTTTTCTCAAAGTTCATGTGAATTGAACTAATTAAACTGTTTTCCTTCTCTTCAAAACCATAGTCTTACATCATACAAAGTTTTCATTGAATTTAACTTATGAACCATTCAAAATTTGCATAGTAAATTTTCCTGAACCCTCAATTATTTTAGTAGAAAATAAGATTTTGAGGGTTTTATTTAAAGAGTAGTTGATGGAAGGTCTTAACTTTAACATTTAGAAAAACTTGTGAACTACATTTGGGCAAAAAATTGTTTAGGCCAAAAGCACACATTAGTCATAGCAGAGGGTCCAGAAATGCCTGTGCACAATTTACTGAAATCTTTATGGAAGGATGGAGAAAGCAAAATCTCTAATTTTTATAATACAGAGAACAAAGGCAGCAGAAATTTATTCCATAAGAAATGTTCATTATTATTATTTTTAATTTTTTTGGTCAAAGATAATAAATTCCATATAGGTTTTACTGGGAAGGGAAAACTTATGTCTATGGCCCTAGTTATATATGAAAATTTATTTTTACTAGTTTTAGTAGTTGGATTTTTTATTTTTTATTTAATTCAGAAAAATCAACTTGCATTGCCAGTTTTCTAATTTAGATTTTATTGATTTCCAATGTTGTACTTTCTCGTTTTTTGCCTAATCAAAGAAGCATAGCCCAAATCATTAACCGAAGAAAGTTTGCCTCGTTTAGTACCTAGAGGTATTGAAATTGCAATGATGATTTAGAAAAAGTCAATCCATTAAATCTACCTTATCCTAAATCGTACTTGCTGCAGGAAAATATTAGAAGTTGGATTTATGTTCATTCACAGTTGCTAATATAAGCTTCTAGACATGTTCGCATTGCTGATTTCTAACACCATGTGACTTTTTGAGCAGAATGTGTGCCTGCAAATAACAAATGAAAATGGCTCAACAATAGCTCCTCCAATTGTAGTCCAGGTTTCGGTCATGCAAGGCTTTGGGAACCTTTTGCCCCAAAGATTGAAACAATTAGCTCAAACAATAACAGGCTCTGCTGACAAAAATCTTGGCCTTGATAACTCGGTTTTTGGCAGAGTTAAAGAAGTCAGACTATCTACTTTCTTGAAGAAAAGACTACATGCTTCCTCACCTTCTCCTTCTCCTGCTCCTGTTCCATCCCCACAGTTAATTGATCACTCTGAGCCATCAACTTCACCACATCCTTCTGGTCCGTACTCTCCAATATCACCAGCAACTGTTGAACAACCTCCCTGTTTTGACTGTGAAGTATCTACACCTGCACCTTCTATTGTGTCTGAGCATCCTCCTGATCCTTGTCCATTTAGTGGCTTCGTACATCATCCCATCTCTTCACCAAAGTCTTATCCTAAACCATCCTATTCACCTTCTGCTGCCCCTACCTCAAAATCTGCCAGCCACACTACTGAGGAAGCTTCTGATGTGTCACATGTAGCTGATGTGTCCCATGGATCCAAGCTTCGGCAGGGTGAAGAAACATCAAAAAAATTGGTGTCCCAGTTACTTGGTCCATCCTCTATATGTAAGTGTACCTGTTTAAATATACTCACCTTTGTTTCTCATGCTTGGCTACAGTTGAAACTGATAAGATTTACATAATACTGACAACTTATTTAAGCATTCTCTTAAAAGTCTTTGTTCTACTACTTTGTGGAGCTACTAATCTTTTTGGTAGAATGATTACTCGGTATTTTTTTTACACATCATCGCCTTACACGCATGTCAATTACTTTTAAAGAAGTTGAAAGCAGTAGTAGTTTATATTACCTTTAAAAGCATCAGTTGCTGTATCAGATACCTTAAACCCTTTTGTTTTTACTTTTCTCTTTTTCTTTATTCTGTGCAGCTTCAGCGGGTGGTGATTTCCGTGGGGAAATCTTGCTAATGGGGTTTTGTTTGCTATTAATTTCTTTTGTTTTTCTCAATGATACCACATTTTGATGATATGGAGATGTTGCCTGATGAAGGATCCTGGAGACATGCAAGGAATACAGCCTAGTGATGCTTTGCAAGTTTTGTTCAAACAATAGAAGGAAGAAGCTTCCATCCAATTTTAATTTGCCTTAATTTTACTTCAAGCATGCAACCACCATGTAAAGCTCCGGTGGGTAAAAGGTCAAAGCCAGAAAGTTGGCAGGCCTCTCTTCTAGTACTACATATTCTATGAAGCATGAAATTGATCCCAAAGGGGTCAACTAACAAACCGCGTGATCAAGAGCAAAATTGTCTTTCAGATGTCAGAAGAACCATCCCTTGTATTGATCAAGTGTATGATATGCAAAGAAATGTGGGTTCTTTGAGCATCTGAATCTGTAAAACATCTACAGTAATATATAGCAAAGAGATAAATTAGTCTTGTATAGCTCTATGCTTCCCCCTTCTCCCTACTTTTGAAAGAAAATAAGAATTCAAATTCGTCCATGAAGAAACACCATGACCGTGCTGTGTTGTCGAGACAGATCTTTTACTCTAAAAAATAGTGGTCAAAAGAGAAAAGTAAAAGTCAATTCCATATGTTCTGAAAGGATTCTCTTGACTTAGTTCAAGAAAAATGAAAAAAAAAAGGTTTGTAAAAGATGCTGTTCCTAGATTTCAATTTGAAGTTTCTAAGCCTTCTGCCATTTGAAAGGAAATGAATGAGAAGTGACAGTGAAAAAAAAAATCTTGGTGTATTGTTTTGATTGAGAGAATTGTGATAAGAAAAGAAAGGGGAAAAGAGTGTAATAAAATGTACAACCATATGGTGCGAATGAAATATTTGATAGCATGCAAATGATGAAAGCAAACAGCTTCAGATGCATTCTCATGGATAATCATGATTATCGATTAAAACTCTCCCAAAGTGTCCAACTATCAGAAGCTAACCAATATAGTCAAATGAACAGACTAATAATACTAATGACTGGTGATTGATTATTCATTGTTTGTTTGTACACTAACTTAATCAATTAAATGATACATAGTTTAATAGACATTTGAAGTCAACATCAAAGTTAAAATTTAAACTTCAGAAAATTAAAGTAAAACAAAAACTCTAAATGAGAGGCCAAAGTTCATTTTAGCCAATTATAATTGTTTGAACTAGGCTGAGAATGGATGTTTGGATCAATTTTAGAAGGTTAGGTGAGTGGTTTTGTAGATATTATCGACAATTAAGCAAGAGAGAGATAAGATAATTTGGCTCCACTCAACAGTGTCTGTGGTAAGGTTGTTGTTTGTTCTGGTTTTCTTTTTAGCTTTCAATGTATCCTTGAAGTTTGGGTTCAGAGATTAAGAAACATTAGAATGATGTGAATTATCACTTTGGAGGCATTAATATGTCTTCCTTAACAGGGATCAATTACTCTGAAGTGGCAAGAGAAGTGAAGTCATGGGACACCTAAAATGGTTGATTTTCTGAGGACATCTCAATGTTATTGTACAACAAGGAATAATGCCATTTTACCAAATGATAAGATGTTGTGGTGGTCCTTTAATGTCAATATCGCAACTTCAAATTTTAAATGCCATTACCTAATCTCTCAAATTATGGTTGGTGGCCAAAATGACTTAGTCTTTTACAAGTGACTAAAAATAGGGTGGTCTTTGTCAATTGTTCTTTTCTTTTGGTGGGAATAAAAAACAAATTTTTGGTGAAATATCATTTTGAAAAAGAAAAAGAAAAAGTTAAAAACTTGATTTTGAAAGTGATACTTGAAATAGTAAAAAACTGTGCTGAGTGATGACAAAATCTATCATCCACACTTATCTAAGCATAATTTTATGTGCAAATGATTTTTTTTTAAATGGGATAGAAGTTAATTAAATGGTAATAATATCTATATTAAACAGCTAATTTAATTATATAAGATTAGTTTAATAAAGTGATGATTAGATTCACTTATATATTATAATATTATTATATATAATTGATGTGAGATTTCATCATTATAGATATATATATAAGTGAGATTGTACTCGTCTTATTAATCCAATTTTATAAGATTAAATTAATTATCTTATAAATTTTTAAAATGATATTAAAATCATAAGAGACTTTATATGACCAAAGCATATGATAAATAAGGAAACATTACTTATTGACATGAGAAACATTAATTATCTCATCATTATAGACTTTATTATTTTAAAAGATTTTAACATGAAATTTGATGAATGATTTTTTTCAATAAACTTTGGTGACAGATGAGATATCTCTCTTTGAAGATTATACATTTAGTCTCAAATGTTGATAACAAAAATAATTAACTTGCAAATAAACTTATGATATATGTCAAATGACAAAACAAAATAGAGATAATTTTTCTTTGAGTAATAATAAAGCTATTAGTAGTTTTAAATTAATCCATTGTGATTTATAAGGATTTTATCAAATTTCATCATCTTGAGGTATATCTTTTTTTTATTATTATAATTAATGATTGATTATTCACGTAGTGTTTGAGTTTATCTTTTACTTGATAAAAATGAAATTTCTAGAATCTTGTTAAATTTTATTGTTTTGGTAGAAAGATAGTATAAAAAATAAATTAAGATAATTCAAAGTGATAATGAAAATGAATTTACATGTATGTCAATAAAATCTTTTGAACTTAATATTATTTTTCAAATATATTGTATTGGAACACCTCCACAAAGTTGTTAAGTTGAAAGAAAATATAGACACATCTTTAATGTAGTGCATGCCTTCAAATTTTAAGAAAAATTTTCTATCTCTTTTTGAGGTGACTATGTCTTAATAGTTGGATGTCTAATAAATGGAACACCCATACTTTTGTTAGATGGAAAAATTCCTTATGAAATGTTATATGGACAACTGCTTTCATTAATGACTTGAGGATGTTTGATTATTTATGTTATGCTCATAACTAATATAGAAAATGAGATATTTTTGTTAGTGGATTATTCTTATCGAAAGAAAGGATGAAAGTTTATAATATGGAAACTAAACTATTTTATGGTAAGAGAGTGATGATTTTTTTTTAAAATGAATTTTCTTTTGCACAATCTACTACCAACAAGATTATTTTTACTATAATGACTTTTGATGTTAATATTAAAAATGACATTGTTGAAAATGATGTTATTGATAATTTAAAAATTTTAAAGGTGACCTTACAAGTGAGACATAAATGGAAGAAAATTTAGATAATAAACTCCTTCTCCAAAATGAGTCAGAATATCTTGGACAAGAAAAACATCTTAAAGTTTCTTTGTGAGATTTTGGGAGTACATGACTAATACATTTAAAGTAAAAAAACTCATTTAATTATTCTTCTACTCCACAACATAATTTAGGTGAGTCATATCTTCTAACAAATTATGTGGTTATGATAATTTTCTTTTCGAAAAACAACTTAGGTTCCTTGCTACTAACTAAGGAGAGAGAGTAAACAAGTTATTCAGAGGTAGCAAAAGATGATAGATGATGCTCAACCATAAGACAATAAATACAAACACTTGAAGACAATTGAAACATAAATTAGGTGTCATTTACCAAAAGACAAGAAGACATTGATATGCAATTATAAAACATTTTAAACTTTGATTAGCCATACTTGAAACATCAAGTTGAAGAAGTTGATTATACAAAAATATTTGCTCTATTAACAAAGATGATTACCGTTCAAATTGTATTGACATATATTGCAATAAAAAATTGGGAACTTAATTAAATAGACTTTCAGAATGCTTGCTTCCATGGTGATATTTAATAAGAGTTGTACACGATGTTGTCCCTAAACTTCCACTTTCATACTTCAAACTAAGTATGTTGTCTTCAAAAGTCCTTATATTATTTAAAATAAGTCCCTAAATATTGGTTTACAAAATTAACTGGTGTCTTGGAATAATACGAATTCAAGTAATCTCTTTTTGACTATTCCTTGTTTACTTGAAAAATGATTCAATACAACTTAATGTTTTAGTCTATGTTGATGATCTAAATCATAGGTGAAATAACCACCAAGTTGTCTAACGGTTCAAAAATTACTTGAATAAATGTTATCCAATGAAAAACTTGAGAAAATTGAAATATTTTTTAGAGGTAAAAGTAACTAGATCACGTATTGACATCTTTCTAGGTCAAAGAAAGTATATCTTAGGCATAATTAATGAAACTAGACTATTTGAAGCAAAGTTTGTGTATATACCAATAGAACAAAATCATTATCTTGATCTTGCCAACAATGAATTTTTTTTTTCTAATCCTAATTAATATAAATGTTTGGTAGGTGGGTTGATTTATTTGTACTTGATTCTACCTATTGTATGCATGTTATTTCATAATTTACATAATACTCAAGCATAAAATACTGAGAAGTTGTTCGATATCTAAAAGAAAATTCTAGACAAGGGATTATCCTAATGATAAAAAATTTTATAGATGGTGTGATGCTAATTAGACTGTAGCGTCCTCTCGGTCATAGCTCTCATACAAATTATTTTCTTAAAAATTCTTGTATTTCTTAGAATATTAAAAATCATATACTATCTCGTTTCTTGACTAAAATGGAATATTGTTTCATAATTATTACCACATATGAATTAAAGTGGGTGAATAATTTTTACATATTTTACTATTTCTCATTTCATATTTACATATTTCTATTGTGATAATCAAACTACTTTATACATAACTAAGAATTTGGTATTTCGTAAATACGATAAACATATTAAAATAAACAATTATTTTGTTTGTAACAAGATATTTGATAGATATATTTACAACCGTTTTATATTTCACTTGTACTTAACTTTATATATATATATATATATATATATATATATATATATATATAATTTGTAGGACGTTCTTGATAAATTGAATCTTGCAAATCTTCCTACACGAATTTTAAGGACAATAGTGTAGATATTGCTGATAATTTATAGATTTGTAATATATTGTAGATATTGTGGACACTATTATAGATTTGTAATATAGATTTATACATACTGTAATATTTATGAATTAACCGTAATTAATTCTATATTGAAAATATTGTAACTAACAATTTTTGCTAATTATGATTATATATTTAAAACAATTATCCTACAAGAAATAAAAAAAACGCTCCTCTCAAAAATATTATTATGCATTTCCAATTCTTTCAAACAATTCCTAGTCAATTAAAAGTAATAATATAATAATAAAAAATATAAAATTAAATTTTTATTATATTAAATAGATTATTAGATAGATATTTGAGATATCCAAGTTCTCAAAATATTTTTCCTTAATTAAATAATTTATTTCGGACGGTCAAGAATGTTACTCAGCAACTCAAATTCCTACTACTCCCCCATTAGACATTCACCCTCTAATTAAAGAAAAAGCAATGCTTCCATGCATAAAAAGTTAAGTCTTTCAAACAAGTCTAACAAGATCATCCCAAGAACACAACAAAAAAGAAAGTAGATCGTTCTACTTACTTGAAAGTCACACCAACAAAATTTAAAACATCAACCATTCTCTGAAAAGGAAAAAAAAATGTCTGTGTTGACGTGCTCTTCTGAAAACTCTAGAATTGCTTACAAAAGCTTGATTCCCAACTTTTACCCTTTAACTACTGCTTGATTACTACTCCTTCCAAAATGCCCTCAGGCTTGAACTTTGCTAAGAAGAGTCTTGGATCAACTGGACCCGGAAGACTGAATGAAAGTGTGAATGGTCCAGAGCCTAACTCCCTAAATTTCATCTCAAAAACACGTGATTCTTTTATTAATGTTCTTCCACCAGTTACCATCCCTCTGATCTGAACATTCCCATTAGCTTCAATATCACAGCTAATGTTACCTGTTACAAAAGTATATGATGATAACACATTAAATAAAACAATTAGGAAAGAAAATTTATGGAAAACATGAGTCAGGCTAGGATTTAGGGTTTAGGAATGAGTTGAAAGATCCTAGTTGAAGAAGCTACAAGCGTTTAAAAATGACCACACTTGCAAGACATCACTATCTTCCCTAAACCCTAACCTGTAATATACGGTAGAACTAATTCTCGGTGTTGTAATAGAACACCATGTTCATTGCCATAACTAGCAGTTCTTGGATGTTGTTTATACATTAAAAGATGTCACAGCATTGAACTTCATATTATTACTAAAGATTTTCCTACGCACAAACAAGCTATCATGATCAATAGCTGTTTCTCACCAACACTAAAAAGGCATGATATTTCCAGCTCGTACGATCTTCACTAACTAGGCTTTATTCTCTTTGTGTAAGGTGCTAAGTATTATTTACAGTTCACAACAACACTCGTAAAAGTGTCAAAGTTCATAACTATAACCCCATAACAAAAACAGGTTACTAGCAATCAGCAATTATGCATGACGTCTATAGCATTCAGAATAACAACTATGAATACCATAATAATTATTTGCAGTTCTGAATACCACTCATAAAGTTGCCCAAATGAATGAATTATTTACTGACATAACAGTTATGATACCATAATAAAAGCAGGCTACAAGAACACCATTAATATTTGTGACTTCTGATCAAGATATAAAATCTTCCATACATAATATAATGCATACATCTCCATTTCTGCTAAATTGAATATTAACCCTTCCAACAGATCATCAAATAATACGAGCTTATGTGGATGGAATTTTCCATGAACACTTCTAAGTAAGGTTACCAAACTTGAAACTTTACTTAAACTCGTGGAGCTTTCCCTCGATTTACAGATTCAACTGATAATCTCGACAAAGTTTAATTAATATAAAAAAAATAATATTACAAAATCTATTAAAAATATCTCTATAATATATATATATATATATATATATATATATATATACTTTTAATATAATGCAATAGTACTATTAAACTATATACAGATGAATAAATCATATATAACTTTGTAAATACATAAGCTCTTAACGTGAAAACAATAAAAAAAGAGTTTATTTCTTCAAATATTATATTTAGTTTCAAACTAGTAAACTAGCTTTTTTGACTTGAGAGTTCATCAGAGTTTAATCGTAAGAGTTTGACAGCGAGTTAATTCGTTTTCTATACATAGATAGTAAACTCCTAACAGTTAACGAGATTTTAAGAATGGAAAAGTAAACAAAAGTAAAATAAAAAATTCTTCAGATAAGTTTCTCAACAGAAATTAACAGTTAAATTTAGTTTATCAACAGACAAATTTGAAGAAACTCTTTCATATAAGTTTCTCTAAATTCAAAATTTTTACTTATGTACAAGTTAGGTTTCATTCATCTTTTTTTTCCCCCCATCTTCTAAAATCACTTAAACATACCCTTCAAAAAGTCAAAATAAAGAAACCTGAAGAAATAAAAACAGAAAAACTTACCCTCATTTTTCGTGACCCCTGGTATGGAAACTCGGAATAGATATGCGACTTCACTACTACCAATATCCACAATACCAACAGATGAACCAAATTGCCCTTTTAAGGCTGACCCTGTTATAATAACAGGAGAATCCTGAATGCAGTCATCCATCTCAGGAATAGTGAAGAGGGGCATGAATTTTGGCTTAACAGATTTGTCCCTCTTCTTGGAAAGCTTAATCTTCAAATTGTGTTTTGTAGGGATGACATGGGGAATTTCTGGCAATGGCAGTATCTCCTCAACACGCTTCCTCTTGTGGTCTTCTTTGAATTCTCCTGATTCACACCCCTTATTGTGAATAGCCTCAGGCCATTTGATCATGCAATGACCATCACCTTCATCGCTTGATCGACAACCCAGTTGGAAAAATTCACCAAGATTTAACTTGAGAGTTGTCATACCAGTTAAAGATTTGAATCTATTGAAATCATCCTCTCTGATGCATGAAGGAGAAGGATCATCAATTAAAACAATCCCTTTCATAATTCTGAAGGTATCAGGGTACCATATCTGTTGATGAAGATCCAAAGGGAAAAAACTAATGAACTGCTTGCTACCCGGGACAAAATCCAAGGAGGGCAAAAATAGATTTCCCTTCAGATACGCGCGAAGCATATTGAGATCCAAGACAACGTGAGGAGGAGAAAATCTGAGAAGAAAATAATACAATCTCTCCAAGAGAGAAATGCTAATATATGAAGGTCTTAAATCACTCAACACATAGGGTGGGAATCCAAACACTAGCCTTTGAGTAACACAACATGTTGGATTATGAGACATGACATCAGGTCCCAAGTAAGTAGTGAAGAAGAAGTCAATCAGAAACTTCCTATCAGATACCACTGCTTGTTTCACAGGGACAGACATCCTGGTACAAGTAAAATTTTCTCTCAAATCCAACAGTGTGGTGGATTCACAGTCACCTGAAACAACAAATAAAAATAAAAATCAAATAAATTTATAGATCGCAATATCCAATAAGGAAATAAAAATTAGGGTTCAACATATCTTTTTCTTTTTATAAATGAAAACAAATTTTAAAGTACACAACCCGTAAGCAAGTATATGAAAAAAAAAATATATATAGTAGAGCGACAAAACTACATGCTTTGTCCTAAAAATTATTCAAGATTGGAAACAATATAATCTATCATCATTATTAGTTTTTTTCTTCCCCACGCATGCGAACAAGTTGACAGATATTTCCCTGCTCATTTTCTTCAACCTATTCCTAGTACTCATCACACGCTATGTATGAACAAAAATCATAAATAAAAACTGACATCGGAAGAGAAGAGAAAAGAAAATGTGAAGTATCCTAAAACATGCAAATAACAAAAGGAAGGAGAGAATGCAAAGTATCCTATACATGCAAATGAAAAAAAAAATGAGAAGGGAATGTAAAATAGCCTAATTCATACAAATCCTCATACATGCAAATGGTGGTAAACTAGTAGAAAACCAGTGACTCACATGGACCAGATGGAGAAGAAGTGAATTTTGAAAGGAGTACACAGCGGTGCAGAGATGAAGGGGAAGATGATAAAGCAATCACTCCCATTCGTTTGCCATTCACGTCTGGTTGGGAGCTGTGTAATCTGACACTAGTCATAATTTCTCTCCACGATTTACTATGTGTACAAGAATGAACCGTTTCAATCTTCTTTTTAATATATATTTTTAAAAATAAAAAAAGAAGTGTTTATAAAATTTAAATAAACTTATTTTAGAAATATATTTGAATTAGCCTATTGCTCATATGTCATTTTTTTTAACATCTAAATACATTTACTATATAATAAATGAGTTAAAAAGGATAAGTTTGTAATATTTTTAATATTTGAAGGTAATAGATTACACGTTTTAAAATAAATTATATATAACAATAATTACAAGTAATATAAAAAATAATGTTAAAAGATGTAAAATAAAGAAATATATTAGATTTGTATTAAGTTATTCTTAATTCAAAATTAAGTGAGTTCAATATATTAAACATCTAGTTAGATTAAGTGTACTTTTCTGTTAATTTTCAAGTGTGATATAGGATCTTGTTTTATAAATAAAAAAAGGACACACTAATATATTAAATTTAATAAGATAACTAAAATTTAAGCTATCTCAACTTCATAACTAACAACTAACATCTTAAATCTCTAATTTCAATCTTAACCTAAATTCCTTTAACTAGTTGATATAATTTGAAAAATTATAACTAGTTAATAGTACAAATAGAAAAATTATATATAATAATTTATTACAATAAATATAACTCAATTAATTAATAATGTGATTAAAACTTTTAGCAAGAGTTGTTTTCATAAATAAACTTAGATACTGTATATTTTTGTCAAAAAGATATGGCAAAATACTAAAAACATGTTTCTAATGTAATATTAAATTTTAACAAAATAATTATTAGATTGATTTAATTATAATTAACTCAACTCATTTTTTTATAATTTATTTATTTATAATAAATAATTTATTTATCATATAAAATATGTTGACAGAGATTAATCACTTAAATTTTATATAATTATAAAAGACTCTGTACAATTTCTTCTGTAGTTTACATTTATTAGAATTAAGCTTTACAAAATAAAAATATTAAACCATAAGAAGTTGCCCATAAATAATCTGATGATTATGTCAAATCATTCTTAAATCAATAATTTGATAAACTAATTAATAATAATTTGTCTTGTTTGTGTGAATTAATAGTAATAATATAATAATATTTTTTTTATATAAAATATTGTTCTGATTATTATAATAATAAGTATAGATCAGTTATAAGAGTAATTCGAAGACAAAAATGACATAAGACGAAGGACATGTATAATAAGACAAATATATACGTTGTTCGTCATTTTCCCTCCCAACCAAACTTTTATTTTTAATAAATATTTTTTAAGAAATTTAAATAATTAAATGAATTTTTAAAAACAATAAAATATAGTTGAATGAGTGTATTGTTAATATATGATTTTTTTTACATTTAAATGCATTGTTATTATTTAATAGAAAATATGAGTATAAATTTTAAAAAATAATTCATAATACCTAAATTAAAAAAAATGATATTTTTAATAATTATTTAATTTATGTGTAATTACTTGGCAACTTTCTTATGTAATTAAATTTATTTTATCATATTTTTATAAATAATTATAAAAAATTATCAAAATATCTTTATTATATTACATATTGACAGAAATTTGTTTCAATACCAGTAAATAACGTCATCTTCTTTCAGGACTTTCTAATTTGAAACAAATATTTCTATATTGTCAGATATTATTATCTTATTGGTGAAAGCTATTATCCTAAAAAATAATTCGGCATTGGTATAATTTTAGAACACAAGATTAAAAAATACTTAACGCAATTTTTTTTTTTACAAATATATAAATATTTTTTTATACATAGTTAATTTTTTTAATATGTTTAATTTTTCTCATACATAAATATTTTTTTTATTTCACTTATTAATCATTTTATCATTATTAGTTTCATGCAAAGGAGTACCAACAAGTTAAAAAAAGAAGATATAATTTCATGATATAAAATTAATAAGTAATAAAGGATACTAATAACTAATAAATTGAAACTTCAATCCATTGTCACATTTAAGGGTCAGGTGTAATTTGAATTAAATCACCAAAATCCACCCAGAGGTTATAACATCACATTATTTTAAACATTAAAAAATGTATTATAAATATGAAATACTTTTTCAATACATCTTTTAAAATTATATAAAAACATAGAATTTATATATATATATATATATATATATATATATATATATATATATATATATATATATATATATATGAACAAAATTAGTTAACCTATTTAAAAATTTTAATGATTTGAGTTTTTTTTTACCAATATAGTGTAATTTAAGAAGAGTATTATGAAATTGGCGCAAATTTTTTCAATTTTACATAAATGGGTAAGTGGTGTTAAGAAGGAAGCACTTACATTAAAAATTTGCGCATCATGCAAGACTTATGTTGATTTGTATTTTTTTTATTTTTTTATTTTAAAGTCGTGTCATCTATTTTGATTTTTGATTTTTGATTTTTTATAATTTGAATGTTGTGTCATCTTGGATTACTTGGGATTTTTTATTTTTTTATTCATGTTTTGTAATATTTTTAATTTTTTATATTTTAATTTAATTATAACATAATATTATTTTGTAATGTTTTTTATTTATCATATTTTAATAAAAAATGAAAAATATAAGAGTAATTAATAAAATAACATATATTAATATTAATAAAAATAATTATATGAGGCAAAAAATGTAATACAAAAAATAATCTAACATTCGAGTCTATTTTATAAGGTAGTCTTTTAATAATTAATAAAATAACATATATAAATATTAATAAAAATAATTATATGAGGCAAAAAATGTAATATAAAAAATAATCTAACGTTGAAGTCTATTTTATAAGGTAGTCTTTTCTCATTTCGTCTAGGTCTTTCGTTTTGTTGAGGAACATATGTTTGTTGTCCTTATGATTATTCAATTAGCTACAAGAAAGTTTGGATAGAGAAATAGAAAACACTTGCCATGGTTTTTGGTGATTGGAAAAAGTCATATAATCATCTTCCCAAATGGTTCTAAGCTATTAAAGATATACTTCGCGACACAATTGTCTAATATATGAGTAGTTCTTATATTTATAGATGGAGTGGAAGATTCATCATGTTACATTCTCTAGAAGTCTTTTGGTCATTCAAGTCATATATTGAAGGATTCAATTATTCCAAGTCAGTCATTCAAGTTGACGGGATATTCTTAACTGAAAAGTATCACGGAACTATTAACAACTGTTACACAAGATGAAAATCAAAATTTATTTCTATTAGCATTTGCAATAGTTGAAGGAGAGACAAAAAACACTTTGATTTGGTTCTTCCAATTATCAAAACAATATGTTGCACCTCAACAAAATTTGTGTATCGAGTTCTAGTGTAAATAATTCATTGTTCGATATAATTATTCAGTTTATATGTGGGTTCTTAAATTCAATCAAAACTTTCAATTAAAGATCATTCGTATTCAATTTTCATGTTTAATACAATTTGAAACATTTAAAGTAAATTTGCAAGAATAGGAAAGAAACTGTAAAAGTAAATTACTTAAAAGTAAATATGCAAGAAATTAGATGGCATAAAGATAAATATAACTCAATACCAAGGATAAAACAGAAATTAATAGAGAAATCAACTAAAGTGGCGATCCAAATTACAAAGAACTTTATTGAAAATGTTTGTTCCTAGCTCATAACGTTTTTCAGAATGTGAGTTATATAATTTGATAATCACCCTTGGTTACCTTTATTTTATCTTATATATTGTTTTTGTAACTGCGAATATGTCATGAAAATAATAAACTAAAAAAATAAAAAGAAAACTATAAATTAGAATCTTCGAACGGTTATTTTCTTATAACTATTTCTCTTCACTCCACCTTTTAGATGCATATTTACTTGTAAATACTCATTCCAAGAAATTGTATTATAACTGTCTTATAAGTCTTTTGATATACCACTTGAAGATCTTCCAATATAGTTTTCTCTCGATATATTGTGTCTTTGTACTCTGATGTTCTTTACTATTTAATTTCTCGATTCTTGATTTGTCGATACTTTGACCTCTTCGAAAACTCATATTGTGATTACTCTTCTACTTTCATAATATGTCTTTCTCGATTACTATATTTATTTCTTTTAACTATCTAATATCCCTTTTTTTTTTATTCATTCTCTCAATCTATTTGTAAATTTTTATACTTAACAAAATACCCCTTAAGAGACTACTATATGAATCATCGATGAATATATGTATTCTCTTATCTTTGATACCAACTTCAAATATTTTATCCTTACTTTATTCAAAAGTTGTTTTCCATCCCATGTTCTCATTATTACTTTTACTCCCCCTCATAAATGAAAAATTTTTCGTAATAAATACGACTATATGTATTGTCACTCTTTCACCTATTTAAAAAATATTCGATTTATTGGATATGGGCCTACACCAAGCTCATTTATTACTAGGTTTCCTTGGAAAAGTCTCTACTTTCAAAAAGATTAAAACTACTCATCTTCATCACCCTCACACACTTACCCTACTCTGCAAACTGATTCTTAAAAAAAAAAAAAAAACCTTCTCTGTTGCCTTATTTCTCTTATCATCAATATCGCACTTGAACAACACCTTATATCCTTGTTAAAATGACTTAATCATATGCAACTTCTCAAACTTTCACTCTCCAACCTATAAATGCTCAATTCGTAGAACTAAATGAAAAAACTTTCGAAGAATCCAAAAATACTTGCTCCACCCAAGTACTAATCTCATACTCCATCGGTTATGTTTCACTTGCTTTTGGAGGATGATTGACCCAAAATTCCGAACACCCTCAAAATTTCCTTATGTCTAACGATGATAACTCTCCATCCTTTAGCAAGATTCTAAAAAACACAAAGTAAATTTTCTTTCCCAAACATCCAAAATCTACCACTCCGGTCCATC